CAGAGACATTCCAGAAACAAGGAGAGAGGACCCCTACAAGCTAAGCATAAAGGTGTCCTTGACTAGTCCAGGGTGCCTTAAAGTACAGATAAATGTTCAGACTCAGTGCTTGTCAGAGGTATGCACCAGGGCTTTAGACAATGTCAAGGTCAACTGAACTCAGCAGAAGCAACAGAAATTTGGTCAGAGACCTCTAACTGCTCTCTAATTCGTATCATGAAATATCTATAAATTTGCAATTTTATAAATGAGTTCTTACATTATAATCATGCCCCATCAATATAAACCAAGATCATTGCCTCACTAAGTAAAAAAACGAAATCAAGGGCAGAATAAAAGTGAAAAGGTTGTGTTTATTGGAGATATAAGTGGAAAAAGCAGCACCTGATGGAAGGGTTCCATGCAGGTCACCATGTAGATCCTTGGTCCAGAACTTTTTATGGATAAGTGGCATATGGGAATTGCTCAGTTGCTTAGTGATCCCCTATTACAGGAAGCTCTGTAAAATGACTAACTGGAATTCAGGCTTCTGAACTAGTTATTCAGCATGTGCAATTTAAAGGAAAACGCCATTTAAAAACAAACAACAAGCAGTTATTTTGTATTTATAAATGCCTCAAAACTCAGGAACTTAGTAGCAAGAGTCTGTAACTCTCTTATAGGAAGGGCTTATATTTCATGTTGCCTGAAGACCTCCTTGGTCAAGGCCTATTCTTATTTTAATTTTTATCAGTGTGGCTCAATGCCCAGCTCCATCTCAGGCCCTTTCTCTAGCTAGCAACCTCTTCATAAACTAACTAATTGAAATGTCTTTTACATTATCCTGATCAAAGTTATTCCAAAGAATCTTCTTAAGAACAGTTGCATGAATCAAAAAGCACTTTCAGTTCTTCAAGCCTTGTTGTATCACAATAAAAATCACTTTTTTCTAGGTCACAAGTAACTAGAATTTCTCTAAAGAGCTGCAAAGGACCATAACACTTTTCTGCCTAAGCAAATCACAACAGAGCTCTTCAAACACACCCCAGTGTCTCCAGCTTTAAATTTCTTAATCCAAATTTTCCTGTAAAGCAAATAGTTTAAGAACCTCAAACTCTAGATCGGCTTACAAAAAAGTTACTGAACACCTCAACACCCAAAGTGGTTAGCATAAATCCCCAGATGTGTTCATAAGAATGTAGAAAGACAGTGAAAAGAAGACTGTCTCCTCAGGATGAATCTAACCTTTAAATGCATAAGGCCTCAGAGTGTTGGGGCACAATTATAATGAAGAATATACTTAAAAAATAGCAAACTTACAGGTATTTCATGCTCAATTAGAGATCTCTAACCAAGTTTCTGTTATGTTGTTTCTGCTGAATTTAATTGATCTTGACAGTGTCAAAAGCCCAACTGTTTAATTGTGATAAGCACTGAATCAGAGTAATTGTCTGTATCTTAAGGACACCCTGTAAAGACCCCTCCCTGGAATGTTTCTATATTATGGCAATGCCTTTAACTATACTTACTCTGTAAAGGTCCCCTCCCCTTGTTCCTGCAGTGTTTCCATATTATGATAAAAATAAAATAAAAAGTCTGTTCAAGACTAGCCTGCCTGTCAATATATGACTCAATGCATGTGACCAATTATGTGATGTTATATCACTTGCTTTGTGCCTCCCACTTCTAAATTCTATATAAACTAAACTCTCTGTAAATTCAGCACTGTTGCCTTTGTGAAATTATCTGTAGCAGTCTCCTGGCATGAAGATCCAACAATCTGCCAGCATAAAGATTAAGTGCTACCTTCTTTATCTCCTTGGTACAAAGTGTCTTCCTGTTGACTTGGTTTGGCTTGGAAATTTTCCCACAATTAGAGGGTATTGTCCTGTCCCAAAGGGGAAAGCTCCCTGGGATAACTGAGAGCTCCACTGGGTCTTTTTTTTTTTTATCGGTACCGGGGATTGAACTCAGGACCGTGCACTTACAAGGCAGGTGCTTATGCCGCTGAGCTAAATCCCCAGCCCCTCCACTGAGTCTTGAAGGGAAGACTTTCATTGCCTTATATTCATATGGTGCAGAAGACAGAGGTCAAGCAGGCCCCTCACTATAGAATCCTGGCTTCAACCTCCGAAGCTATTTCATAGCTTCAAAATGGTATTGAAGTCTCACTGCCTGTCCTTTATAAAGATGATTATAAGAAGAGAAACAGAAAGGAAACCAAAACAAGTCAAAACAAATGAAAATGAGAACAAATGAGTACTCCAAATCAACAAAACTAAGGCCTGTAATTTTTTTAAATCTTTTTTTCTTCTCACACCATCACTGACCCCAAAATGATCTGCAATAGTCCAAATGGCCACAAATGGTCAGGGTCCTTACTTCACCCAAGATGGCACTGTGGAGCCCCTAAGAGAAGGTCCAAACAGTAGGGACAGTAGATTCCTGGAGTGCACTTTCTAGCCAGAAATCAGGCAGAGCCCAGGAACTTTCTATACAACTTCTTTTCTTCTACCAACAAAAGCACTTAAAGACAGTGATCAGGAGCTGGCCAGTCTCCCAGTCCCCTGGACCTGTGTACAATGAAGGATAAAAGACAATAGACGAAAGCAATACAATGGACAGAGTCAGAAAAGATCAGCGCTCTTGTGGCTAAGACCTTGACTTCTCCAACTTGGCCACTGTTTATTGGGTCCATTGTATCTGGGGCATGTAGGAAACTTCAGGGACTACCTGGACAAAAAGCCATGGAAGCGAGTAGGGCCTTGTGAAAATAGAACAAAGACATTCCAAAGAATAAATCTTTGCTTCATGAGAGATCCATTTTCTCTCTAAGGTTGGCAGTTATTTCCCTGAAATTCGGAGTGAGATTTAGTGTCCTCAGGGTGTCATCTTGCTTATAGATATATCACAGTGTCACAAGCCATTGTAGGCCTCTATTACGACCATGGAGAGTTCTGTTTCTGCATTGTAGCTAGTGCAGAACAGCTCATCAGGCAAGTAACTTAGGCCTGGAACAGACTCATCATATAGAAATATAATATAGAAAGCCTTTTTCCCAAATACCCACCAATCTGTCTGTAGGAAACTGGGAAACCCATGGATCTCAGAAGCGGGGACTCACTTCCTGGCAGGCTTCACTGAAACTGTTACTGGCCTTTCCATGCCATTCCCATATGTGTCCTAAAATTCTTTGCTGTGACAGAAGTCAGTAAAACTTTGATGTCTGGACAGTAAACCTAGTCTTTGATGGGATGAGTTGAGGTCCTCATATTTCTTTTGGGGACTTTTAAATATTCATTTGGTGACAAGTTTATCAGAGACTTGGAAGGAACAAGTTTGGAGATATGATGTAGGAAGCCTGGAGAAGAAGTTGGTGAATAGACCTGTTTCTTGTCTTATGTGAACATTGTCCCAAAAGTATTCAGTATATAGGAGGTCACTATAATCTGGGCATGTTGGTTCCCCACCGCCCAAATACCTCATTTCTGGCATCAAGAGCCCATATGTAATTGGCTATCATGACAGGTTGGAGGCTATGCCTGGGTCTTCATTGTGATTCATCTGAGTGGCTATCGATAACCCAATAGCATTGTACTCTTTGGGAGAACCAGCTGGCCATTTGGTGGTAGATAAAATTTATTACACTATTTGTCTCCCAAGTATAGATATACTGTCCTATAAGGATGTGCCCTTCCTGCCACAGCACTAACCTCTACAGTCACACAGAATGCTGTGTCCATTGACAAGGGACCCAATGTCCCCTCTAATTAGGGAACATGTTTTCAGTGAAGGAAACACGACACTGAGTTTATGGCATTCAGTAGTCTAACTATGTACTGTGTGTTAAATTAGATTATTCATTGAAACACTGACAGCAGTCTGTTTCCCTGCTTCATTTACATTTGACTGAGCTGTGTGGATATTTGCAGAAGGGATCCAAGCAGAGGTTTAAAATATGCTGTTAAACTATTTTCTTGCGACTGTTGTCACCATGAAAAGAATACATACTTGCCTGTCCCAGTGGTCTAGGGAAGGTAACAATCTGGGGGGGAGGGTACAGGGTTTCACTCTCTAGTTCAAACTGGCCTTGAACTAGATGTCACTATGTAACATAGGTTGGCTGAGGACTCACTGCCATCCTCCTACCTCAGCCTGGGATTACAGGCATGGTGGGATTACAATCACATTGCAACCTTGCCAGGCTGGGTGACAAATATTTAGAGAAGTCCTCAATCCAATTTCTTGAACATATAACTTTTTTTTTTTTTTTTTAATCTGTACCAGGGATCGAACTCACGACTGCCTGCTTACAAGGCAGGCGTTTATGCCGCTGAGCTAAATCCCCAGCCCCTTGACTCTAATTCTTGATGGCCCAGAACCTGAATGTTCTTTACACTTTCATCAGTAACAACAAAAACAAAGACAACAGCAAGGACAAACCTTGTCTCAAGGAGAAATTCTGCAATGTCAGTAGGTTGAGGGAAAACTGATGACAGTTATACTTCATTTAGTACCTAATACATTCCAGGCAGCAGGGATCCATTAGCTTTCATCAACATGGAAACTGACAGATGAGGTAATTACCTCAAAACACACAGGAAAAGACAGCACTAGCATCCAAGTCAGGTTTATATTCCAAAGTCCTACTTCTGCCCACTTCATTATTACAGCCTCTCTAACAGTGATTCCAGCGTGCACACAGGAGCACAATTTCAATTCAAACTTTCAATTATCTGGGAGTTATTTATTCATTTTTAAACATAGTTTTGCTATGCAGCCTCCGCTGGCCTCGAACTCGTGATCTTCCTGCCTTCTCTTTTTAGGGCTGGAATTACAGGCCACCCAGCACGTAGCTTGGCTGGATTTGGTTTACACAGGAAAAATTTAGCAAGCCTGGGTCCACAGGAGAAAGAATTGAAAGCCTGCAGGATCTGAGGAACCGCCTAGGGAGGGGCCAGCACCAAGCGCTGGGCGGGGCAATTCGGGCCGGAAGTTGCCTTGCCCTAAGCAAACATGGCGCCACTGGGGGCGCTCGCCCTCACGTCGTAACCAATGGAGCCCAGATGCTGGGCGTACGCACGCTGCTGGCCTTAGCACCACACCACGCGATGCCAGCCTGAGTGGAGGAAGTGGCTGGAGCACATTGGGGAGACCGGGCTGCGGCGGCGGTGTTGGAGACGATGTCCTTGGAAGTGACCAGGGCGGCAGCAGGCATGGTACTGGGTGAGTGAGACTAGGCGTGCCGCGCAGTGTCCCTTCCTAGGAGCGGGAACCTGGTCTCCGCTGAATCCCGTGGATCTCAGCGCTGGGCGCCCCCAGATGTTTGGGGAACGCTTGGAGGGCGCCTGACTCGCTGGCGCAGGCCCGGCTCTCCTGGAACCCTGCGTGCCCAGGTGCTGCGACTGGCCGCGCCCGCCCCACTGCGAAAAGGCGTGATGCCGCTGAGTCTTGGGCAGTGTGAGAGGTCAGACAGTGTAGTCGGCAGACATGCAGTTCTTCAGAGTTATCTCCAGGAAAGAAGTTCATCAATTTACTTCTCTGTTGTATGGCCTCATTTTGTGTAGAAATTTCCAGTAAGAGAAAAAGAAAATTAGGGAGACCTGGGCTGATGTCACAGCTAGGCTTCTGCGGTTGTGAGGCCTTCTACACTTTTTTCAAAAATTGTTTATTCATATATTTTTGGCATACGTAATGATCACGTATGTCATAGGGGATTAGTACTTGAACGTGACACATTTGGATTCTTTTTTTTCCCCCAACCCCTTTCCTCCCGGGAACCCCTCTACACTCACTATTTGCAAAGCTTTATTTCTATTTTTATCTTTTTTTTTTTTTGGTACAGGAGATCGAACTCAGACCTTGGGGCTTGCAAAACAGGCGCTTATTCCATGAGCGAAATCCTTGGCCCCAATTTATCATTTTTAAAAGTGACCTTTTTTGCTTCTTTTCTTTCGACCCTTCCCTACCATACTTCTTTCGTTTTGAACAATTTCTTCCCATTTCATAATATGTACTGTACATTTTAGTCCCTACTTACTCTTTCAGTTTCTGAACCCAGGGAGACTGCCATGGTTACACGTGTGCTTTTTTTTTTTTTTTTTTTTTTCCCCTTTTGAGAGGAGGTGTCACTGGGCAACTCAAGCTGACCTTAAACTCATGGTAATCCTCCTTCCTCTATCTCCTACCTATTGAGATTACAGGCCTGGAACATCATGCTGCCTCATCATTTTTTCTTTCCCTCTTTCTCCACCCTAGTTCCTCTTTTGTTTTGTGTTGAAATTTCCAGGAAGAGGAAAAGAAAACTAGGAGACCTGGGCTGATATCACAGGGAGGCTTCTGCAGTTGTAGGGCCTCCACTTTTTTTGTTTGGGAGGAGGGTTTGCTGTGTAGCTCAGCAGTCTGTCATTGAACTCATGGGGATTCTCCTGCCTCTGGCTGCTAAGTGATGGGATTACAGGCCTGAGACATCATGCCTCATCTTCTGCCATTTGTTGAACCTCAGAATTGAGGTTTGTCTTAAAGACTGGAGGAAACTGCTAATTTTATCAGCAATTTGGACACTGGCACAGAGATGTCTGATCTGTATGTGTTGTTTTCTTGCATCCTCAAATGGATATTGTTTCCCTTGTTTCCTAAAAGGGGAAGTAAGCTGAGAATGACAGTAAGTTTTCCAGAGTCACCCTGGTCCTGGGTTTTAAGGATCAACAACCAAGATTCCAATGGGAATAAAATCACAGCTTTATTGTTGAGTATCATGTAGATAGAAACAGTATCACAAAATAATCAAATAATTTGTTTTGAAAAGGTTAATAGATAACTCATGTTTTTAGGAGATTATTTTGGTAACATAAGGGCATAATGATTTATTTTGAAGTGTGATAAATTTTACTAATCGGATGTTTATTCTTTATCCAAACAAAGAAACAGCTAAACTAGTTGCACTATAAAGTATCTGAGTCATTGGTCAAGCAAGTAACTTACTCTTATTTTGTAAAACAGCAGAGCTGTATGTGTCGGATCGAGAGGGAGATGATGCCACAGGAGATGGAACCAAGGAGAAACCGTTTAAAACAGGTCTAAAGGTAGTGTCTCTTCTCCTAGAAAAATGACTTTGCATTTGTTAATGACTTTTTTCAGTAATGTGTGACTTGTCAAGAGTTTTACTTTAAGCACTAGATTTTGAAGACAAATTTTAATAAAGGGAAAACAAGGAATACTATAGAAGGTCCACCAAAAAATGTTTATACATTTCAGGAAAAGAAAAATAATAAAGCTAATGGGTACCACTTTGAGCACTTATTTTTAACTGTAGAAGTAAAGGTAACATCTTAATCTCATGATGTCTCAATAAATTTAGTATTAAAGTGTTTTTAGAAGTATTTCTTTTCCTGAACCATGTATACGTTTTTTTTGCAGACCTGGTTGGTACACTGGTTTAAGAGTGCTGGATGATTGGAATCTGAACTTATTTCAACATTTAATACCTATATCTTCTTCTTCTTTTTTTAACTACAAGTCATGGATATTGCTTTTTTCTAATATGTCTGGTTGCTGGTTTTTCAGTTTTTGTAAGAATAAAAATCATCCCTAGTCATGCTGAGCTCCTGATTTGGTAAGAGGCCTGGTGCTGAATGTACTTATATGTAGTAGTGACCCTGAACCTCGTGCCTCTGAAGAAGACCTAATTTCTGTCACCACATCCAAGAATGCACGCATTTCTCAGAGCAGACTCATTTGGAACTTGAAGTAGAATTTCAGTTTATTGATGTGCTGCTGTTTCTCAGGAACTAAAATCCTCAAATGAGATCCACACATTTTCTTTGAGAAGACTTAAATAGAAAACAAAATGCAGGCCAAAAGGTCCTTCAAGTGTGTGAACTCACATGCATGTTAGGTAACAGTTACATCCATCTTAGTCACACAGGTTTCTGTTGAACTGAAATTCTAAGACCTTTTGGCTGCAACTGCCACATAAGGACATGATTAAAGTCCTCTTCCTTGGAAAAACACAGCCCTGATGCTCCTTTTCCTATGCATCCATACCTGTACAGTGCCCTTTTTTGTTAGCTGTGACTCAACATTTACAATAATGTCTTTGTGAACATAACTCATTTTGGAAACACATTTCTCATCTATGAGGGCCCTGATACAGGAGTAGCAATCTTCTGCTCAAGGGTATGACCACAGACTAAAACACAGTAACTGTAACCCCCTTTACAAATGAAACAAGGTTAAACATTTCTTTTTTTTCTTTTTTTTTTTGTCTTTTCATTTTTATCGGTACTGGGGATCAAACTCACCACTGCCTGCTTGCAAGGCAGGTGCTTATGCCGCTGAGCTAAATCCCCAGCCCCAGGTTAAACATTTCTAAAATGCAAAGGTACAAGATAAACATTACTATTCCAAAAGTTACAAATAGGGAAATACAATGCATTGCAAACAAAGCAAGTCCAACATCCAGCAGGGCAAACATTAAATCCTAGAGTTTCATTTGAAGCAATCTGGTTGCACGCTCCAAAAGGTTTGGGTGATTCCACTTCCACAGCACTTCCAGGATTTCAGCTCCTGCAGCCTCTCTCGTAAGCCTCCTCTGCTGGGTTTTTGCAGCTTTCCTTGGATGATCCACATTCCTGCCTTTTCCAAACTTGTGGAGTTTCCATTGGACCTTTGGCTTCACCCTTATATTTTTATATATTGCCCTCTCAGGGGCACACTGCTTGGCTCCCAGGCCTTTTGCAATCAAGGTGGAAACCATCTTACCCTCAGAATTTGTGCATTTTCCCTGCACCTAAAATCAGCACCATGTGGATGCCACCAAGGTTTGCTGCCAGGTGGAGTAGTAGCTAAGCTTTTCACTGTCTTGGCTGTAGGGCTCCAGTGCCTGGATTGCTGGCCTCTGTTTATCTGATTGTGAGGAAGAGCTTCTGTATATTGCTGCCATTCTGGAACCTGGTGTGTCTGCTGCCATTTTGGAACTCCATATGGCCTCTGCCGCCATTCTGGAGCATGGTGCTCTGTAGCGTTGTCCTCTGAGCAGTCTTTCACTTTTGCAGTTTTGAGGCTGCAAAGGATGGAGACCCGCTGCTTCCTGGGATGCCCCCGGCCATCATTTTTATTTTTCTGTTTCTTCTGAACAGTGAAAGTCTCAGCTCTATCTTTATAACCCACAGCTTTACTGGAGTTTTTCTTCTGGCCAAACCCAGCATTTTTAATTATCCTACAGGGTTCTTTGCTCTTGATTTGCAACATAAATCTGGTTAAAACCCCCTAATAATAGCCATGCAACTGACTCTATATTCCACTGCCTTGAAATTTCCTTTGCCAGATTAATGAATCCTTTGCCCTTAATCTCAGTCTTAGGCAAAATCTCTGGACACAGGCAAAATGTAGACAAACTTTCTGCCAAGTTATAACACATCATGGGGAGTCCAACAACCAATGCAGTCCTTCTTCCCAGCAGAAACCTCCTGAGTCTGGTCTTTACTGGCAGGCTTTTTATCTGCCTTCTGGTCTCCTGAACTCTGACCAGAATCTCCTCTACAGAACAGCCTAAGATGTTCCAGCTCTATGCATGCAGGCGACATCTCCAAATCTTTCCAAACTTTGCCCATAAGCCATTTCCAAAGACTCTTGAACCACATGGTCAGATATAGTCATAGGAATACCCCACTCCATTGGTACCAAATTCTGTCTTAGTTACTTTTTACTCATTGTTGAGAGAAAATACCTGATGCCTAAAGTTGGGGAGGAAAAGGTTTATTTCTTACAGTTCTTGTAAGTTTCAGTCCTTACTCATTTCCCTCCAACGCAGGGTGGCATGGCGGGGCCACAGTTCATAGTGGCTGCAAACAGCAAGGCGGAAACCGGCAAGAGAGAGAGAGATACACCACCTTCTTGCCTTTACATCATATCCTGGCTCCACCTCCAGGCGAGTGTAGCACTCACATCACCAATCCGAGTTCTAAACAATGAACAAATGCATAATTGCGTGAGGCTTGGGGCCTGACATAAACTGACATAAACCATGACAACGGCAAAGAAAAACCTAGCCAACTCTGTACATATCAATAAGCTGAAATAGGACCAAGTTTATCCAAAATGGAGAAGTTGCTCTTCTTGTCAAGGATAGTGTTTAGGTATAACTGTGGTTGAGGAAGCTATAGCTTCCTAAAAGAGTGGACTTGGTCTTACCCATGTTTTACAACTCTTTGCTATAGTAGAGTTTGACATATTTAGAAGTTGGTGAGTCTCATTAAGCATCAGGTAAATCTAGACTTCATGTTTATCTTGTCTAGACCAACCTGAATATCTATCAGGCTTGAGACGTTGCCTTTCTGGGGGGACCTTCGGTAAAATCTTTGTGGTCTCAGGCTTTTGGGACAATGCAGCTTGCAAGAGAGTGCAGGAAAAGGGGCAGCAGGCTTCTGGGGTGTTACTTTCCTCTTTGATTTGTGGACGAGGGTCCCTGGTCTGTCCATGTTCTTCACATGTACAATAATAATGCCCCCAATGAGCACTGTTGCCCAAATGCAATTATTAATATCCTTGAGGAAGATTTTAACCTGTAAATCGAACTTCTCTCAGTATCCAACTCTGCAACCTTTTCACTTTTTTCTATATATGTGGATGAAGTTGTTGTTCTGGGCCCACCAGTGAGTCAGAGGATTTTGGTCTTTTGTTCTAATTGCTGGGTCCAACCCATCATACCATCCTCCCCAGAATCCTATGGTCTTACGACCCCAATGCGGACAGTATGCTTCTCTTTCTTTACAATTTCCCTTTTTCACTTTAGTTCACATATATAATCCCTGGGCTACCAGGTCCATGTCACCCTTTGTGTTGTTCCTAATGAGCACCTTTCCTTATACTTTCCATACAGGGAAGCCATCTGTAGACCCTCCAGTCTACCACCAGTGGGGGTTCCAAAAATAGCATTTATAGCAAGATAGCAGATACAACAGATTGTTGGTTGCAAAGGAGATGTGCTATTAAAGCCTCTTCTTATCTGTGAACTGATGTTATCAAACGAAAGGTGAAGCCTGGGTGATCGTCTTAGCCATGGTTCCAGGAGGTGTAAACAGGCTAACAAACAGTTGAGAGTGCTTAGTTGAGTACAACTAGGTAGAAAAGAACCAAAGCAGCCTTTTCTGGAATTCCCAACTCCTGGGGATGCAGTCCAGAATGCAACAGCAAGCACCAGCACCACCGGGAGGAAAAGGACCAAGAAGTCAGTGGGAGGGCAGTACGTTGACACCATCTCTCTCTCTCTCTCTCTCTCTCTCTCTCTCTCTCTCTCTCTCTCTTTTGGGGGGAGGGGGAATTGAATTCATGACTTCACGTTTGCCAAGCAGGCACTTAACCGTTGAGCTAAACCCCTAGCCCCTGAAGCCATTTCTTGATGAGATATATTTTAGTTACAAGAGGCACCAGAATTGTCAAGCCCAATGATGGGCAAAGACAAAAAGGTGCTATGTCCTTCATCTTTATTAGGTGCACAGCTTGATTGAGAGGTGTGCTGGTGGGCTGCAGAAAGTGGGGAATGAACTGATCACCCCGGAAAGATTTAAGACTGAGGAGCGGTGCATTTTTGAAAAGCACATAAGAACAGATCATGGTTAACTAGGAATCTTATTATCTGCTAAATAGACTACTGGGTAGAAGGAATTTGGGAGAGAGTTACAAGGGTCCTCAGCCACCGTGTTAGGTGTCCAAACTTCACAGCCTGTTAGTCTCAGCTCTAGTATTTGGCTTAAAGATTAACCTGTGCTTAAGCCAATTGAGGATGTCACTGCAAGGCTTGTAGGCCTAGGACAGACTCTCTATTTTTGTACCACTTTATCAATATTATCACCTGCTCTGTAGAGCATCAAACTGGTCCTCAGCAGTAATCTAAAACTCTTACATACAGAAGCAAATTTGCCCACAAGAAGTAGAATATACCTGTCCCTTGGAGTCACAGTTCAGAGTTCACAGCCTCAGTCATTCACAGATTTTTCCTTAGAACCTGTCTAGTGAATGTTCCCAGAAATGTTCACAATTGAAAACTTCAAATATCTTCGGCAGTTTTTTCCTGGGAGATTTGCAAGTAGCTAATCGAAAAGCATTATTTCACTTCTTGCTGCTGGCATGTAACCCATCTCTGAGAGATATATCAGCATTCCCACGTCACAACAATTTGCTGTATTGCCAGAGCTATCTGGAGTGTTCTTGGTTTTCTTCTTAAAGTCTTTTTTTTTTTTTTTTTTTTTTTTTTTACTTTAATGGGTACCGGGGAATCAAACTGGTGACCTCATGCTTGCAAGGCAGGCACTTATGCCACTGAGCTAAATCCCCAGCCCCTCTTCTTAAAGTCTTGTTGGGATTTTCTGGTAGAATAGTAGACAAGCAAAAGGAAAGAGAAGTGGATTTATTGAGGATGCAGAGAGGAGCCCACACCCACAGGGGTTTGGCTTTCTCCTCTGACCTGATACAGATGGAGCAGAGGGTTATATGTCCTCTGATTGGAAGTGGTGTATGGAGTGGGCATTGATGATGTGCAAGGACCTGATTGGAATTGTCTTTATGGGCAAATGGGAAAAAAAGCTAAAGAGGAAGAGGGAGGAAGTGGCTGTCAGGGTGTTTTGCTTTGGTCTTCCACCATGTTAGCCCACTGTCATAATGTACAGTAATTTATACTAGGGTAAGAACCTCTCAATCCTAAGATGCTGCCCGAACACCCTGTACCTTATATAGCTTCTGGCAGTGAACATAAGTGCCAGAAGAAGTTTTGTGTTTTTTTTGGTCTTTTTCGTTTTTATCGGTACCAGGTATCGAACTCATGACTGCCTGCTTGCAAGGCAGGTGCTTATGCCGCTGAGCTAAATCCCCAGCCCAGAAGTTTTAAGACACTCCCAGAGAAGATAGAATACTGGATTTGCTCTGGGAACTAAAAAGTTACACCGTGGTAGCATAATAGGTGGGGTTTTTTTTGTGTTTTGTTTTGTTTTTTGATCTTTCTGAGTCAGGGTCTCACAATGCAGTTCAGGCTGACCTTAAGTTCACTTCTAATTTGCAGTGATCCTTCAGCCCCAGCCTCCTGAGTGCTGGAATTACAGACATATGCCACGCCCAGCTTTTTTTTTTTTTTTTTTTTTTTTTTACCTTTTTGAGACAGGGTTTCACTATGCAGTTCAATCGGGTCTAGAACTTACTTTTTAGCCTAGACTGGCCTTGGACTCACACCGATCCTCCTGCCTCAGCGTCCCGAGTGCTGGGATTATAGATGTGCGCCACCATCCTCAGCCAACTTGGTATTTTTTGACCATATTTGAAACTTGCGATTTTTTTTTTGTCTTTTTCCTTTTTAAAAAAAATTTTTTTTTTGTCTTTTTCCTTTTTATCGGTACCGGGGATCGAACTCATGACTGCCTGCTTGCAAGGCAGGAGCTTATGCCGCTGAGCTAAATCCCCAGCCCCTGAAACTTGCGATTTTTTACAATTTGTGGGTACTCTAGGAACAAAACCTCTGCAAATTTCAGAAGTCCATTGTAATGGAAATTCAGATGATTTGTTCCACAACCCAAAAATAGCCTTATAAAAATGTTCACATGGGCTGGTCCGAGTGCAGTGGTGTTTACAACTAATTGATCACAACCAGTTACAGATTGCTTTGTTCCTTCTCCACTCCCACTGCTTCACTTTGACTAGCCTTAAAAAACAAACAAACAAAAAAAGTTCACACGACTGTTATATAATACAAAATAATAAAATATGGAATACAAAGACAAAAAAATTAACATGCAGTTACCTTTGAAAACCTTCAAGGCTGGTATGAGGGAGACAGAAAGAGAAGGGTTACCGTGGAGGATGACTTGGAATCACTGCTATCTCTTGGCTCAATGGAGTATTTCTTTTAGTACAACTGTAGCAAGGAACCTACTTGTGGACACTTGCTTTTGCCTCCTTTTTGAGGATTTTGCAGAATTGTGACACTGCTTGGTTTTAGAGAGATTTATTCCTCGCATGGCTGCAGTCTTATTCAGCTGGTACTTTTCTACAAAATCTTGCATTGTTTACCACATTTTACACATCTTCCTAATCTCATTTGAACTGAGTGTTCCTGTGCCTGTGCCTTTTCCTCTTCCTCTGCAGACAACCCCTGCCCCATAACCTCTTGCTGTTGGGAGAGAATCACCCCCAAACCCATGTGTGGGGAAGAATTATTGACTTAGTTGTGATCAGGTGACATTTGGTGTCATGTACTCCTTGAATTGCAAGACATCGCTCTTTTGTCAAATTAAAATTTCTTAGAAATATCTCATCTTGTGGAGTACTCACAATTCAAGGTTTTATTGTATTTAATTATCAATTCTTCCTAATCTGGGAGCATTTGCTCCTGTTTCAGATTAAACCATATAGTTGTGCTTTGGTGTTTCACGCACTGTCTTGCTTTTTATTTCTTTTTTTTTTTTTTTTTCCAGTATCAGGGATCAAACTCATGATCTCATGCTTGCCAGGAAAGTGCTTGTGCTGCTGAGCTAAATCCCTGCTCCCCCCCTTTTGTACTGAGGATTGAACTCAAGACCTTGTCCTTGCCAGGCAGGCGCTTAGGCCACTGAGCTAAATCTCCAACCAAAGGGATTTTTTTTTTTTTTGGTCTTTTTTATTTTTTAAATTTATTTTATTTTATTTATTTATTTTTGGTACCAGGGATTGAACTCATGACTGGCAGGCTCTTACGTTGCTGAGCTAAACTCCCAGCCCCTTTTTCGTCTTGTTTTTTTTTTTCTTTTTTTGGTCTTTTTCCTTTTTATCGGTACCAGGGATTGAACTCACGACTGCCTGCTTGCAAGGCAGGCGCTTATGCCGCTGAGCTAAATCCCCAGCCCCATTTTCGTCTTTTTTAAAAACTATTTCGTTTTTTGGTTCCAGGAACCGAGCTCAGAGCCTTGCACTTGTGAGGCAGGGGCTATACCGTTGAGCTACATACCTGTTCTGAATGAAATCTTTTTTTCTGGGTTATTTGGGTATCCCTGCAAAACTGACTACATTAATTTAGGTGAAGAACATCTGCAGAAGTTAAACTGTTAGTAAAGATGTATCATTCCTGTTTCAGGATTGGCAGCTTAGCTTTTTCAGTTTCAGTGATACAGAAGGAGGGACCAGAATAAACTGATAATAATTGAATCTTGAATTGCCTACACATACAGCTTGGCATCACCTAGTGACAGGATAGAGTGTTCTTGCACAAATGAAGGTGGCTTTGTTGACATTAGGTGATGCAGTCTTACGAGACAGTTGGATTGTTTGAAGCATTACCGTGGTGCATGATGGTACACTCTGATGTCTAATTGTTGGTGGATTCTTGGTTGTTTTATAAAGATTCATATTCTTTCCTTATATTTACAGATTAAAGATTAAAGTACCTATTTTCTTTTTTTTTTATCAGTGTATGTTTGTAGTACATAATGGTTGCAATCATCATGAGACCTGATACACGTACAAGGCACATCTGTGTCGCCTCCCCTCCCTTCCCTCTCAGCTGTACTGTTTCCATCTGCTGCATGCCCCCAACCTCCCTACATCTCATTTTTTCTGTTTAACTTTTATTTTACTCACGATTTGTATTTTGAGTTTCTCATACAACAGAAACCATGTAATTTAAGCTTGTGTGTCTGTTTCACTTACCATTATAATCTCAAGGTGGATCAGTTTTCCTACAAAAGACTTGTTTATTCTTTATGGCAGAGTAGTATTTCATTATGCACACACAGGACATTTTCTTTATCCATTCATCTGTTGATGGATATATAGGCTGCTTGCTCATTTTCACTATTGTGAAATGTGCTGCTATAAAGAGGGTACTCATTGAAATATGATGTCTTGAACTCTTACAGGAAAATATCTAGGAGGCAAATAGCTGAGTCAAATGGATTTATTTGTTTTAGTTTTTTAAGGAGTCTCCATTCTGATTTTATAATCACGCATGGCTTAGGTTTCACCAATAGAAAGTGTTCTTTTTTCCCTACAGTCTAACCAGCATTTGTTTTTATCTGATTCCTTTGTGATAGTCATTGTGCAATAAGAAGAAATCTCAAGGCTATTTTAATGTGCATTTTTCTAAAAGAGTGTGATGTTGAACTTTTTATGCATTTATTGGCCTTTTGTATTTCTTGTTGAGAAGTGTCTGTTCACTTGTGTTTTTTGATGAATCTTTTATTTGGGGGTTTAATTATTTTGAGTTCTTTGTTCTTTGTAAACATTAGTCATTTGAGAAATAGGTTGCAAAAGCTTTCTCATTCTGCAGGTTATGTTCACTCCATTGGTTGTTTCTTGTGTACCACTTTTTATAATTTGATGTCCTCCCATTTGTTGATTCTGGTGTAATCTCTTGTGCAGTTGGTAATTAGTTTAGAAAGTCCTAGCCTGTGGCTATGTCTTTAAGAGTTTTACCTTTTTTAAAAATCTTCCAGCAAGTTAAGTGTTTCTGTTTTAATATTAAGATCTTTGATCTCTTTGATTTTATTTTAGTAGATGGTGAGAAATGTAGGTTAGATTTAACCTTCAGCATGTGGATAAACAGTTTCCCCGGCACCATTTATTAAAGATGCCGTCTTTCCTCCTGTGAAAGTTTTGGCCCCTTTGTCAAAGGCAGGTAGCTGAATTTGCTGAGAGTTGTTTCCCCATCCTCTGTTCTGTTCATTGATCCACGTGTCTATGTTTTTACCAATGTCGTGGTATACTTTATCACTGTAGCTTTGTAGTATTATTGTGCTTTTAGGAAAGGTTGATTTTTATATGCTGCAGGTCTGGACTCCAGAGGGAATAATTCATTGCATTTTCTTTTGTTCTCTCTCCCTTCCCAAGGCTTTGATGACAGTAGGAAAAGAACCATTTCCTACCATTTACGTAGATTCACAAAAAGAAAATGAGGTAAGATGAGCCCAGAACTTCACAGAATTATACTTTGTGAATACACTTTGAATTGAATTTATTTTACATATTGAATAAACAGGGTTCTTGGGTGAAATTACGTATCTGTCTTTCTCTCCAGAGGTGGGACGTTATTTCTAAATCACAAATGAAGAACATTAAAAAACTGTGGCATAGGGAACAAATGAAGACTGAATCCCAGGAGAAGAGAGAGGTGACTAATAATTTACCCCCACACATGTTTTACAAGTTAGAATGCTAGAAGCCGTGTTAACGATGTGACTTGTTGATAAAATTAGGCAGAAGATAGTTTGCGAAGAGAAAAGAACCTGGAAGAAGCCAAGAAGATATCCATCAAAAAGGATCCAAGTCTGCCAGAGCCAAAGTGTGTAAGTGTGTGCCTCGTGGTCATGTCGTGTCCTTCATTGTGGCTTTGAGTGGTATGCCGCTCCTTTGTTCCCTTACATTGTTTGTCTTTCCTTGTAGAATGGAGAGAGAAAGATTTTAGGATAGTGTAAAGCTTGTTCTTTAGGTGTTTGCTTTAACACAGAGCTTGGTAATTGCTTGAAATATATTCTCTTCTGACTGAAACCCAGCAGACCTGGGATGCAGCCCAGGCTGTGCTGTGTGATATCAGTGCAGTGAGTTGACCCTCGTTAGTATCTGTTTCCCCACTGTACGATGAGCAGGTAGAAGTACATGACTTTTCTATAGTGTGTGAGTCTGTGAAATTAGATTTATTTTTTTCTTCTGAAATCCAAACACATTGCTGCACTATGAATACACATGGTTAGTGTGTGTTCTAATCATTTTTGCTGACCGTTATCATGTTCCCTACTTAGTGATGGAGTTGTTTTCCTGGCTGTGTTCAGCACCCACTTCCTCTGTCCATCTCTTTTGACTTCATGTTTCAAACAGGAAGTCTTTTATTTAGCTTCCAAGTGCCAGCCTGTACTGAGGAGCTGTGGGGTCATGGAAAGGGCCTGTGTGGCTGGGATGGTTGCTGCTGGGGAAGCAGGGGCTCTGCTTGTAACAAATTTGTTTAATAACTGATTTTCTATAGCAGTATCTGAAACCTTTCTGGGTGCGTCTCACTGCCAGTTTTGCATTAAGAGAAGACTTGGATTTGTTTGAACCATTTTAATATGGTGCAGTTTTTTAGTTAACCTGCCTAGCCACTGTCTCCAATTTTTTTGTATTATTTATGATTTTTTTAACACTTTGTTCCTGCACATTTCTTATTAATGAAAACATTGGTATGTAATACATGATGTTTGTTCAACTACTGTTTAATTTCATTTATAGGTGAAGATTGGTGCATTAGAAGGCTATAGAGGCCAAAGAGTAAAGGTGTTTGGCTGGGTCCATAGGCTTCGTAGACAAGGTGAATGGTACCACTTTTATTTTCTTCTTCGTTGTTCAGTTTTTTGTTGTTGTTTTATTCTGTTATGCTAACTTTATATGGACACAGTGATTTGAAAACTCAATTAGTTATGATTTAATGTGGCTAGAATCTCAAAATTATGTCAAGTCTTAACTATTAGCAAGTACAGGTGTAGTCAGGTTTGTCAAACTGAATTTTAATTATTCAATGAAAAACAGGAGGTATGTTTATAGGAGGGCCCGATCCTGATGTCAAACGTGTCTATATTGTTTAATTCTTTTTTTTGTTTTTGGTCCTGGGGATCAAACTCAGGACCTCCTGCTTGCCAGGCAGGTGGTTGTGCTGCTGAGTTAAATCCTCAGCCTCTTATATTGTTTAATTCTTTTTTTTTTTTTTCTTTTTCTTTGTGTGTGTCTTTTTCCTTTTTATCGGTACCGGGGATCAAACTCACGACTGCCTGCTTGCAAGGCAGGCGCTTATGCTGCTGAGCTAAATCTCCAGCCCCTTTAATTCTTAAATAATGAGCATGTGTGCATTCTGCTTCTCTTCTGGTACAGGTGTTTTGTTTTCTCTGTTTTTGTGTCTTCCTCTGCAATTCTGAGGATCACACCAGGGGCACTGCAGCACTGAGCTGCATCCCCACCCCTTTGTATTTTTTATTTTGAGACATAGTATCCCTAAGTTGCCCAAGCAGGCCTCTAACTTTTGATCAATGCTGGGAGTGCAGGTGTGTGCACGCCTGTGCCCAGGTGCTTCCTCCATTACTTCATGACATGAGATTTTTATGGTGATTATTGACTCATTCGTGAGTAAGATGGAACATAAAGGGAGAGCTGGTCTGTTCAGTGATATTCGTGCCCCTCCCCTGCACTTTTCTGTTGGTGTTCAGGGGGTTTAACAGTGAGTAAGACATAATCCTCAGCTCATTGGTCACCATCTTGCTGACCCATGGCCATGTAAAGCGGTTTATATATGTTGTTTTTTTTGTCTCTTTCCTTTTTATTGGTACCGGGGCTCGAACTCATGACGACCTGCTTGCAAGGCAGGCGCTTATGCCGCTGAGCTAAATCCCCAGCCCCTAGTTTATATATATTGTATGGCAGTGCTTCTGGGCATTTCAAAGTAAGGGGATCGTGTGGGAGGCTTGATCTTCCCACTCTTAACCTTGAAGTCCTGTGTGGCTAAACTTGAATTTCTCATTTTTAGGAAAGAATTTAATGTTCCTGGTGTTGCGAGATGGTACAGGTTATCTTCAGTGTGTCTTATCAGATGATTTGGTAAATATTTTCTTTCATTCATGGTTGAAAATTAGACTTGTTCAGTAGCTTCTTTTATTGTTAGTTTTAAGGATTATGGACCTGTAGACTTACTTTACACTTTTATTATGTTCACAGTGAGTATACATGCAAAATATATGCCACCTAGCATAAATAGAGAACCTGTATTTGTTAATTACACCTTAGTAGATCTGGGAGAGCTTTTATGAAAATCTATAACATGTCTTAGGGCCCAATTTTAGTAAATACCTATGTATGGCCAATCCTGCTTTGATGTTGCTGTCCCTGACATGATACCATTTCATTCAGGTTTACTTTTTTGTGCAGTTTTAAGAAACAGAGACTTTTTTTCAGCACTGAGAGTGCACTCAAGACCACAAACTAAGTCCTTTATCCCAGCCCTCCTTTGTTTGGAAGCAGGGCCTCGCTAAATTGCCCCTAGTGGCTTTCAGCTTATGCTCCTCCTCTTTCAGCCTGCCAACTACCTGGACTACAGTGGTGTGCTATTGTGTCTAGTTAAAATAACTCCCTTTTCATGTACAGTACTTTCCTGCCATTATCACCTCCCACCAAACTAACATAATGCCTAAATATTATTCAAAATCCCATCAGAGTTTCCTGATTGATTCATAGTGCCTTTTTAGAGATGATTGATTGGAATGAGGATCCAGACAACCTCTCCATCTTGCATTTAGTTGAAATAATTCTGAATTTGGTTGATTATATCATTGTGATGTCATTTAAAATGCTGCTCTATTCTCTATATGATTAATAAATAGAAATTAAATCTGGATAGGTTCAGTTGTTTGTGTTCTGTTTTCTTGATATGACTACTTCATAGGGAAAACTGTTCTTCGGATTGCATTATATCAAAAGGCATATGATATCTGGTTGTATTTTTTATAATTAGTGGGTTTAGGTGATGACAGCCCAGTCCTGCATTGTCAAGCTCCTTATCAGCATTCTAATGACGTCAGTAGGTATTGATCATCAAAGTATAGAATGGCTTTATTAATTAAATGGTCTGCACTTAAAAATGAAAATGAACTATCCAGATGAATTTGAGTGCATGGGAGTAATGTCATATATGCTTTAACTATATCTGTGTTTGTAAAGTTGCACTTGTATGTCTGTTTACCTGTATGAACAGTCAGGTGACACTTAGTAACACAGCTCCATTGTGAAATGAGCCAGGCAGTTTTGTGTTATATGAACATCATAGAGTATTTGTACAAACTGTAACAGCTATCATGCCACTGGGTATTATGATCTTATCAGATGACTAACGATACTCAATCTATTGTTACCAACAACATTGTTAATGTGTTTTAATGGCTATATTGATAAATCTCTCGCTACAAGAATAATTGTTCTTTCTTAATACTAAAAATCAGTGCCAGTCTCACTCCTTATTTTAGTACTTTTTGTCTAGGTATTTTGTTTCTAATACTCCTCTAATATTAAAGTATGTTAGTATTACTGTGACAGCTTCATGTGAACTTTAATCCTTTTCTAGTGTCTGTGTTACAATGGAGTAGTCTTGTCCACTGAGAGTAGTGTTGCAGTTTATGGAACGCTGAATCTTATCCCAAAGGGCAAGCAAGTAAGTGAATTGAACTTCTCATTGAGTGAATACAGAGATGTTTGTCAAATGTCTCAAATGTCTTTATTTGTACTTTGGTGTTTAGCATATAAATGCACAAATCTGAAGTACTTCTAAGCTTAGTAAACCTTCTCCAGTGAAACATGTACACTATGTAGTGTGTCTTCCTCTTGCTTTGTGTTGCTGTAACAGACTGTAAAGAAACGAAATTGATTTCTTGTGGGTTCTGGAGACTGGGCAGTCAAGGTAGAGGGGCTGCATCCGGTGAGGGCCTCCATGCTACGTCATAGGATGGCAAAAGGCATCTCATGGCAAGAGAAGTACTTCAGGTAGAAAACAGGGTGGGACTGCAGTCCCTTTTATAACAATCACAGACTTGTGATCTAAGCATCTCCTGTTAAGCCCCTGTCTTAGATAACATTTTCTCATTGCTGAGACAAAATACCCAACATCCAAGTTTAAAGGAAGAAAGGTTTGTTTAGCTCACAGTCTAGAGAGGTTTCAGTCCACAGTTGGCTGGCTCCAAAGCAGGCTAGCATGGCACGGGGCATTGCAGTGGAGAACTGTTTCATGGTGGGTCGAAGGCAACAAGGGAGAAGAGCAGCAGCAAGCAACAGTAGCACACTTTCTATCCCTTATAGGCTATCCAGAGTGGGCCTGCTCCTTATCTACAGCCAGAACTGTGACAAGCCGATCAGTGGACTGATTTAATAATCACACACCATTGATCGCAGTATCACACACTCTACATGCAGCCACCTGTCTTAGTTACTTTATGCTCGTCGCTGAGACAAAATACCTGATGCCCAAGTTGGGAAAGGAAAGGTTTATTTCTTACAGCTTTTAGAGGTTTCAGTCCACACTCAGTTGGCTCCAAGACAGGCGGGCATGGCTGGGCTGCAGTTCATGGCAGCCGCAAACAGCAAACAGGAACTAGCAAAGAGAAAAACACACCTTCTTCCTACCATTACATCACATCCTGGCTCCACCTCTATGTGGGTGGAGCACTGACACCATCAATCCAAGCACTATACAATGAACCATCATAAATGAACAATGCAAACTCATGAGGCCTGGGGGACACAACATAAACCATGACACCACCTTTGAAAATTTCCACGTATTACTGTGTGAGGCTTTGGGGAATATAGACACTAGCACTAACACCCCACCTCTAATATCCTTGCTTCATTTATAATGCACAAAGTTAAAACCACAGTGCAACTCATAGGATAAAAAGTACTCAGATTTTCAGCATCACAGAATTCATGATTAATCTTCATGGGCTTTAATGTAGCCATTTTGTGTTTGTGAATAAATTTTCTGGTAGATGGTAGTAAGTACTTACACCTAACCCAAAACATTTCAGAAAAGAACAATATTCTAAATCTTAGGGTTTCTGAACAGACTTTGAAAGCTCGATATTCAGAGCGCTGTTTGTTTAATAGCCAGAGATACACAAAATATGCCAGTTACAGTAATTAAACTTCAGATAACTATTTGTTGGCTAAGAAAGAATGTAAACACATGTAATACAGTAACTGTAACAGAGACCAAACAACCCTTATCACCTAGAAATACTTTGAGGTCTCAAAGTGCATATAAAAGAGCATGAATGAGATCAAGTTCACCTGGTTCATTTGGAAGTGCTGTGATTGCAAAATCACGTGGCTGTCATTATGTTACTTGGTGTCCAGTGTTTAATACAAAGATAATTATATATTCCATATTCTGTGGTGTCTTTTTGTTTGTTTGTTTGTTTGTTTTGTACTGGGGATTGAACTCATGACCTCGCACTTGCCAGGCAGAGGCTTATGCCACTGAGCTAAATCCCCAGCTCATTGTCTCCTTTAAACTGAATTGTTTATATGGAATTATAGGAAGAATTCACCAGCTTATATATATATATATATATATATGTGTGTGTGTGTGTGTACACATAAAAATATATATAAAAATATATATTTATGCATTCATTTTTTTTTCTCTTTTTGAAACAGGGTCTCGCTATGCAGTTCAGGGTAGCCTTGGGCTCACTTTGTAGCCCAGACTGGTCTTGAACCTGCACACAGTTCTCCTAACTTAGCCTCCCACATGCTGGAATTACTGGAGTGCGTCACTAGGCCCAGCTGCATGCATTATTTTTTACTGTGAAGATTAACAGATTTAGAAAAACTTTGCATTTAAAATTTTTAATGTGGATAAGTGGGTTAACTTATTGGGCAAACACTAGGAAGATACAACAAAATATTAATACTAGTTAGTATTTCTCCATGTTGTAAGAGTAAAATTTATTTTCTAGTGCCTGCTATTTCATTTTAAAATAGAGTGTGGCTTAATGATAAATACTGGGGGTAGAAAGAAAATGTTCACGTAGGAAGGAAAACAAGGGAAAAAACGAAGAAGAAATAGGAGAAAAAGTGACACAAAGCTTGTAAATAAGGAGAAGAGGAAGTTTGAAGGATGGGAGAGGAATGAGAAAAAAAATGAAGAAAAAAGATACTTTATTACCGGTGAAATTAACTGTGATGAACCTGATCATTATTTGTAGTCAGAGTGTACCAATAAAACTAATTTTTAAAAAAATGCAAAATCAAAAGGAGGAGTTTGGGCATATTAACTCTAAATGTAGTACTAAATATGAAAAATATTCAGATGAAATTGAATTACTGTTTTTTTTATTTGAAAAATAAGGCTCCTTGTAATGCAGTTCTTAGAAAGCTCCTCTTTGAATCTGACATTCAGACACGCAGTCCTTAGTCCTGTTCAGTGCTTGCTTCCTTCTCCCTCCCCGCGCTAGTCCTCACTCTGCTTTCTTTGACTCGTAGGCTCCGGGGGGCCATGAGCTGAGCTGTGACTTCTGGGAGCTCATAGGCTTGGCCCCTGCTGGAGGAGCTGATAACCTGATCAACGAGGAGTCCGACGTTGACGTCCAGCTCAACAACAGGCACATGATGATCCGGGGAGAAAACATGTCCAAAATCCTGAGAGCACGTTCTGTGATCACCGCCTGCTTCCGAGAGCACTTCTTTGACAGGGGCTACTACGAAGTGAGTGGTGTTGGGCGTCTTTTGCAAACCGTCCCTGTTGGCTGTTGTGGCCTGGAAGGGGGTCTTCACAGCAGGCCTTTGTTCCCTCCCTCCCATGTGAACAGGTGACCCCTCCAACACTGGTGCAGACGCAGGTGGAAGGTGGCTCCACACTCTTCAAGCTGGACTACTTTGGGGAAGAGGCATTTCTGACTCAGTCCTCTCAGTTGTACCTGGAGACCTGCCTTCCCTCGCTGGGAGACGTGTTTTGTATTGCACAGTCATACAGGGCAGAACAGTCCAGAACACGAAGGCACCTGGCTGAGTATGAGATTGTCTTTTTGTTGGATTTTATATTTAGAAAGTACCTTTATGGAAGAAAGTTTGATGTAGGTGAATTATAAAATCTCTGTATTTTAAAATGCATGTATTAGGAGGCTAATGCAAGTTTGCCTTTTAATCCGTAACTGAGGTGTGTTTTTCACATTACCCTGATCTCTGTGGGTTCAGGAATAAAGAAGAAATCACTGCTCAAGGAGTTGGAGGGGTGTGCAGACTAACTTGCAGCACTGGGAATTGGGTAGCCAAGTTGGAATTTTGGGCTGATTTTTAGTGTGCCGATCTTTGCTTGGGAGAAACTTGGTATAGGGGCTGGGGATTTAGCTCAGCGGCGTAAGTGCCTGCTTCGCAAAGGCGAGGTCATGAGTTTGATCCCTGGCACCAGGAAAAAAAAAAAAAAAAGAAAGAAAGAAACTTGGTGTAAACGAAGAGCAAGTCTGAGCCAGTGTGTTGTTCTTCAGGTACACTCACGTGGAAGCAGAGTGCCCTTTCCTGAGCTTTGAGGACCTCCTGAACCGATTGGAAGACTTGGTTTGTGACGTCGTAGATAGAGTCTTAAAGTCGCCAGCAGGAAGCATAGTGTCTGACCTCAATCCGGTGGGTGTAGTGTTTCATGAAAATGAAAAGATGGTAATGTTCTTCTGGAAGACACTGGAGTCTTCTCTCTCAGTTTTATGGATTTGATGGCTTGATGAGTGAAACAAGTGCCTAATAATACTTTGAAGAGTAACCTTTAATATAGTAGTAGGCATTGCCACTAATTTCATACTTCAGCTTAGCTAAGGAGGGTGTCCACTTATGATTTTCACTGGAGGAGTGTTTGCATAGTTTCCAGCCCTGAAAGAATCTTTTGGGTCGGAGATTTTGCTCAGTGGCATAGCGCCTGCCTGAGAGGGTGAGGTCTTGAGCTCGACCCCAGTAACAATAACAAAAAGAATCTTTTTTAATAATGGTGAATAGATTTTTTGGCTAATGGGCATTTTAAGGTTGGTGGTTTCTTTATATACCTTACGTTTTTGCTTTCTGCATAGAACTTCAAGCCCCCCAAACGGCCTTTCAAAAGGATGAACTACACAGATGCTATCGCGTGGCTGAAAGAACACGATGTAAAGAAAGAAGATGGGACTTTCTATGAGTTTGGAGAGGTATGCATTCCTCTTCCTCATTGTTTCAAAGGCGGTGGTAGTATGCTTACTACATAGGTTGTGTTTTCTGATTAAGTGGCTGATGTAGAAGGGGCTGCTGCTTGGAGTTGTGTGTTGTTTCATTGTAGAGTGAACAGTGTTTAGTTTTCCCGTGTCACCCTTCTTCATCTTTTTTCTTTATGATTTTTGCCATCATAAGCTAAGTTCTACTTACCCTTCTGTTGGCTATCAAGGGTGTTTTAAAAGTTCGTGACACCCTCGATGGTACTTTTAGAATGTTCCTGTATGTGTTTATTCATTATCTTATGCTGAAAAACATATATCATAGTTTGAAATGGAATTCATTCAGCTCACAAAATCAATTATTTAAAACTGAAGGTGTAAAAAAAGATAGCTGTTGAATAAGAAATAAAACCAAGAGAGAAGGCTTGTATGGAACATGACCTGGCACCCGATAAACTTTGCATGCTGATCCTGGTGTTGCCTGGAAACCACCGCTAAGCATGTATGGAGAGATGGGTTGGCAGCAGTGTTACATGTTCTTGTTCTTTTATGTTTAACCCTTCTTTATGTGGTATTTGTAGATCTGTTTTATAAGGGAAAAAGCAGATAACTGCTGCTCACTAGATTTTAATGTTTTTAGAAAAAGTTTATAGGCAGGACAACAATATACTGAATCCTTACAAATTACTGTTATAAATTCAGTTTATGCTGTATAAAACACAATTTTGAACGGAAAACTTGAGTACTTTGGTATCCCTTGTACTTGACAAAGTGCTATAATATTCAACAAAGTGTCAAGTGGGAGGAACACGAGCGGTAGAGCCAGGCCGTGTCCCTCCCTGAGGCCAGCTTTGCTCCCACCTCTGTCCTGACCTGCTCTGTCCCTGAAGGCAAAAGACCTGTGCTCTCTTTCCTTCTGTGGGTCTCAGAGGTAACGTCCCGTTGGCCAGGTTGTGGGGCCTAAATGAGCTAAGTGCCTAGCGAGGGTCATGGCCCAGGAAGCCTGGGTGCATGTCAGCAGCACTGGATTTCCTTGCTGTCATCCTATGCACATGAGAGGCTGGAGAGGTGAGCAGTCTGCAGATTTCAGATTGTGCAGCGAGTTTCCTCTTTTTTTTTTTTTTAATTAAACTTGAATTTATTAAAAAGTTATTATATTAGATTTATTAAAAAGTCATTATATATAATAAAATCCAATTTATTTAAGGAGGAAAAGAAAAAAAAGGGTACAAGTAATATAAAATTTAAAAAATAAACAGTAAGAAATCACTAGTTAATAGATTACATATTCTCATCTTAGAAATAGTTGTTCAAGTTACAGAATTGAAGCATATAAAGTAGACTTTGAAACAGTGAGAGCGCAAACAGTTTTGTTCAATGATCAAAAAAACTCAGTAATTTTGTTCAATGATCAAAAAAACTCAGTAATATGGTTATCTTATACACTTAAACATATATGCAGTTATAACCTTTAGAGCACTTTCTTTTCTTTTCTTTTGTACAATGACAATTACACATTTTGGGTTTATTACTCCCACAGTTCTTACTACTTTTTTTGAAGAGAGTAAAACCAAATGCGACATATCAGAACAGAGTCATTCAAATCAAAATGATAGACATAATAGATAATGTAAAAACAAAATACAAGGTGATCAAAAATGGTTACTGTACTGCCTCTTGCTATTTTAAGAAGAATTGCCAGTTAAAATAAAATTGAACTAAACAGTAAAGAATAAAACCAAAGCATTGGAGACCTTATAGGACTTTAAAAGAAGATAATAGTCAACCAGAATGGGCGTCATAATGATTCTTATTGTCTTCACAGTTTTGCCTATACTTTTGAACTTGGTACTATCAAGCAAAACAGAATAGGGGAAAATCAGTCAAACAAGATGGTAAGGGCAATACAGGATTTCAAATCAAGTTAACAGGAAATCAAAGTAGATTACTATAATGTATCCTGCTATTTTTTATTTATTTTTCCCTTAATTAAAAAGATAAAAAAAAAAGTAAATAATTTTTAAAAAGCGGGGGATTGAGATAAAAGAGGGCATAACAACAGAACAGCGCAGGTCAAAACATAACCATTTAAGCAAAATAGTGTTTCACCACAAGATATCTTGACATAAAAATGGTTACCATAGTGTCTCTTTCCTTGAAATCTTTGAGTATAACTTCGTATACTGTAGCACCAAACATATCAAGACACTATAAAACCACTGAAGAGAATGACATTATTACAGGGTATTTAGAACCAATTAACAGAAAATGAAAAATGGTTTCTGTATAATTTCCTTGTCTATAAAAGTTTTTACTTATATTATCCTATATAATAAAATTCAATAAGATACAACCTTTTAAGACAGAAGCATACAAGTTTGATGGGACTTCAAAACAAGATGATTCTAAATCAGCGCTAGCTATTAGGATGTCTTGTTTTCTCCAAAATAGCTGTTCCTACCATCCGATCTTCTCTGCTTCATTTCTGTTGAGCTCTTTTTCTGTTGTTTATTGTCAGTTTGTCTTCCTCATTTTGCTTTCTGCTCCATTCATTGTGGCCTCTCTGCCACTATTTGTGGAATCTTGGTATTTTCGTTCTTTAGAATATCCTGCAGTATTCTCTGTAGAGTTGAATTGGTGGTTGCAAATTCCCCTAGTTCTTCTTTATCCTGGAAGCACCTTGTTTTTCCATCAATTTCTAGGGACAGTTGTGCAGGATATATCAATGTTGGCTGCAGGTTATCTTTCAAAGCTTGAATTATTTCCCCCAACGCTCTTCGTGATTTGATCGTTTGTGCCAAGAAGTCTGTTGTAATTCTGATGGGTGTTCCCTTGTAAGTGATCTGTTTCTTGTCTCTGACGGCTTTTAATATTCTGTTCTTATATTGTATTTCTGGAATTTTGATTATTATATGCCTGGGTGTAGCTCTGTTTGGGTTGTAGGTGGCTGGGGTCCTGTATGCCTCATACATCTGAGTATCTTTACTATTTGCTAAATTAGAGAAATTCTCTTGGATTATTTCTGTGAATAGCTTTTGTAGTCTATTTGTTTATGTCCCCACTTCTTTTCTTATGTTCTTAATTCTTAAGTTATAGATCCTCTTATCTTCTAGCCTTTGTATCGTTGCTGTTTGTTTTTTTGTTATTTTTTAAGAAGTTTTTCATTTCATGCTCCACCTGCCCTCCAGTTCAGATAATCTATCCTTAGTTTCTTTCAAGCTGTTATGCCAGCTTTGAATAGAATTTTTAGTTTCCTGGTAATCTCTGTGAACCTGCTTCATGTATTCTGTGTTTTCTCTATTTTCTCCATCAAACAATTCTCCCCTTTTTTTCTGTTCTTCCATTCCACCATCTGTTTTTTATTGGGCGGTGCTTAGCATTTCTCTAACTATTCTACTTATATCTTGCTTCAGGTCGTTAATAACTTCATTCCTGAACTTGTCTATGAGGCTCTGGAGATAGCGCTTTATGTCTATTGGTGCCATGTCCGATATTGCATGTTTCTCAGGATTGGGGGCTGAGGACCCTTTCTTATTGCTCCCTCTTCCCATATTTTTTGTTCCTTTTATACAAGCATATATAGGAGGCCCAGTTTCTTTCTTTGTCAGTTACAGTTTGTTTGAATTGCACCGGCTAGGTGTTCTCGCCCACTGCAGTGTACCAGGGAGCCAGAGACCTGGGTAGCCTATGCTGGGCCCACCCCCCCCAGGTCAACCTACTGAAGGCTTCATTGCTAGGATGCACCTCCAGGTGCTGGGACCTGGTTTGGGCTAGCCTACTGGGTCTTAGTCAGTGGCATCACGCAGGCCAGGCATTCCCCACCAATCCTGCTTGAGAGGGGAATATGTGACTGAAGTCACTGCAGCATCCTGTTCCAGGTAGTCTGCCCAGTCCCAGTATGTCCTTCGCTGAAGCCTCCTACTGTATGGAAGGGTCCCTGATCCTCTCACTCACTGCAGGTCAATGCAGGGCTCCCGGCCAGTCCCACTCTCAATGCCATTCACTGCTTCCCACTCTCAGAGCTTTCGCGCCTCTCTCCTTGCCGTGCCAATTGGGACGCAGCAGCAGGTGCAGGAAATTCAAATCGCAGCTTCCAGTGGCTTGGGGTCTAGCTTTCATGCTGAGACCTTATCTGTTCCTGTTATATCACTTTTATTGCGTTTCCAGTTGGTTTCTTAGTTTAGTTCGTTTCTGGGTCGGCAAAGTATATCTCTCCTTGCTTAGGATTTCTCGCCTGGCAGCATTCCTGGATTTTTAAGTGCGTTTTCTCAGAGAGCCTCCGAAGCTGCTGCTATCTATCCACCATGTTCTTCCGGAAGTCCAAGAGTTTCCTCTTGCTCTTTGTAATGTCACGCAGCGCCCCAGTGTATCCAGTGGATACCAGCTAGGTGACCAGAGACCTCCCATTCATGTCACATCTCCTCCTGTACCTCAGAGGGTGTAGGGCATCGGGCTGGGACTAAAGCAGAGGGCAGCTGTGCCAGCTGATTGCTCCGCGCTTGTTTCAGTTCTTACATCAAACAGATTAGTGAGTCTTGTCTAAGTTTCTCCATCAGTTGAGCTGGGGCAAGAGTTTTGGGTTTGAGCTTGAGTTTTTTTGTTTTACTGAAGGATGTTTAGAGACAGAGACTGGTTCTTTTGATTTATCATCGTCTGACATTTCCTGGCGATTGCAGATGTGGTTACACTTACAGACTTGATCCTGCTTATCTATCCTATCACCGTATTGAGGGCGTAACTGATTTATTGTAGCAGGAAAGAAGTGCATATAACAGAAGGGTTTAAAGATTCGTTTCATTAGTATTGTACTTTGTGTGTGGATCAATGATCTTCTGGAACATTCACTGATTACCTTCCACTTTATGCGGCTGAGTAGACCACAGCTTGCTTTGGAGCTTACTAAAAATGCCCATAGGAAAAAAATACCTTGGAACTCAGCTTGGAGATTTGTGCTGTATTCCTCTCAGGCATGATCCTTGAAATATACTGAAGAAGAAAGCAGGGTATTTTACAGTTCACGTAACAACTGTGAATTTACAAAATATGTTTTATTTTCTTTCAAAGAAATCTTTCCTTATATGGGAGTTTATGAATTTTGGCTTAGTGTGTATTGTCTGTCATGTTGCCGTGATGGGTAGGACTGGTAGGGAGTGAAATAGCTGTTTATGTCTGGTCCGTTTTGAGTGGTAAATGTTAATCAAGTCTTGTTTAACCTCAGGATATCCCGGAAGCTCCTGAGAGACTGATGACAGACACCATTAATGAACCAATCTTGCTGTGTCGATTTCCTGTGGAGATCAAGTCCTTCTATATGCAGCGATGTCCTGAGGACCCCCGTCTTACTGAATCAGTCAGTTTGTGATTTGGAACATTAGAAATTCTAAGTTTTGTTTTTATTCATTTATATTTTAAAGAAAAAAATAACAATTTCAAAACACAATAATTAGAAAGTAACAGTGGTTAATGTGTTGTTTATTGTTATCTTTAAATTTCTCAAAGGACAAGATATCTGCTTTTAATTGTCCAAAGAGTATTCCTACAAACCATTCTTTTCAGTGAACTAAGAGAAATTAGTAGTATAACTATCTGAGCTGAAAGAAATAATATATTTGTGTGTAAGTATATTTATTCATGTTAGTCAAGAGAAGTTTGCTTTCTAAAGGAGGGGAAGAGCCAGGCCTGGTGGCATATGCCTGTTATCCCAGAACTTGCGAGGCTGAAGCAGGAGGATTTCTGGACATTCAAGGCCAGCCTCTGCTCTTTGTAATGTCACGCAGTGCCCCAGCCTGTACTATATAGCAAGAATCTACCTTAAAACAAAGCAAAACAAAAAAATAATAAAATAGAGGATTGGAAGGTGTTAATGCAATGAGATACAGCTCATGAGAAGTGTTTCATAATTCTGCAATGACAGTAGTTACAGGAGTGGTTTTTCTTCTTCGCTGGTTTCACGTGATTACGATTAACATCCTTTACTAGAATATATGAGTACTATTTGAATTTTGCATGAACATGGTGTCGATTCCTTTAGCTATAGGAGTTTAAGTGACAGTTTTCATTGAAACCCTGCAATAGTGCTGTTTTTGATAGCCTGATACTAATTACGTCTTTCCTTTTTTAAAACCTATATTCAAAGGTGGACGTGTTGATGCCCAATGTTGGTGAGATCGTGGGAGGCTCCATGCGTATCTGGGACAGTGAAGAAATCCTGGCAGGTTATAAAAGGGAAGGCATTGATCCCACTCCCTACTACTGGTACACAGATCAGGTAAAAGCACTTTTCAGAACTGCCTTTCACTTTTGCCATTGTAAGAGTTCTGTCTAAAGGGGAGCTTTCTAAATGGTACTTTAATTTTTGAATGAGTCGTACTTAGTTTTATGGTTATAATACAGCATCTACCATCTGGTTATAATACATCTGTGTACTCATTACAGAGTATCATTAGTTCCTACTACTATGTACTATTTTTCATTTTTCTCTGATTAGTGGAGGTATGGAAGTCTTTCCAGGGCAATGCTTAGTTCCTGATTTATGTTTCATAGTTATTTCAGAATTACATGTTTTATTTGTGCTACGGGAGACCAAAGCCACGGTGTTACACATGCTAGGCAAGCACTGTAGCACTGAGCTACACCTCCAACTCTGTTTTTAAAAAAATGTATTTTGAGAGGGGGTTTTGCTTCATCGCCTAGGCTGGGCTTAAACTTGTGATTCTCCTGCCTGAGCCTCCTGAGTAGCTGGGCTTACTGGATGCCCCACTTTGTCCAGCCTGAGCTACTTCTTCACACATGGCGGTTCATGAAGGCATATAGGGTGTGGGTTGAGTTCTTGACCACAGTGAGCTCTTTCCACACTGGAAAGGTTTAACCTGTTTAGATAAAATTTTAAACATTCACTCCTCTCATTCTCTCTGTGTCTTTTTGTGTGTCAGAGAAAATACGGTACATGCCCTCACGGAGGATATGGCCTGGGCTTGGAACGATTCCTGACGTGGCTCCTGAACAGATATCACATCCGAGATGTGTGCTTGTACCCTCGGTTTGTCCAGCGCTGCAAGCCATAGTTGGTTTCTCTTAAGTGTGCAGGAAAGAATATGATTCATGAAAAGAACAGATTGCCTCTTTAAAAGAAAAAAAGGACAAAGGCCAAAATTTTCTCTTCATTGTTCTCTTAGAGTATATCTGTTTCTGTCTTATCTTTTTGTTCCCTCTTTGATAAAAGGAGTGTACATTACTGGAACATCAAGTAATGTTGATATCATTATAAGAGAAATTATATGTTACAGAATTTGGAAATATGTGGCAGAGAACTCAGAAGTACATTTCAACATTTTATCCAGTTATATGATATAATCATTGTGTTTAGCATACTACACATTATTAAATGTCATACATAATTAAATAGTTTTCAGTTATGTTCTGAACCAATCAGGTAACTTAATCTTTCTGACCCTTTAAGTGTAACTATGTTTCTTTTAGTTTTTTTCATTTTATTGTATCAAGTTAAAATAAACATCTTGAGTAATTGGCAAATATGGCATAACAGTTTGCTAGTATTAGAACAACTCAACAGTGCACATAACTGGTTTCTAATGAATACAGTCTTTTTGAATCAGTTACTAATCCAGTTTCAATTTGTGTAACTCTGTTTAATACTGAAGCCTTCAAATTGATTCAGCAGAACTTGTAGAAGCAAAATTTCCTTAAACTTTGGCATAAGCATAATTTGGTGGGGAGGCCTATTGTGATGATCCTCAGAGTCTCTCAGCATTCGTTTAAGGTAAAGAGGCAGACTGACCTTTCCTCCTTCTGGTGAGGTGTTAGAAATTAAAAATAATTAACATCCGAATGTATTTGCAGGTTGAATCTTAATGACTTGTGGATGGCTGCGTGCGTCATTTTCATCACCTTAGGTGTGACCTATGCTACCTAATAAACTCATCACAGGCTTATTGAGTATCTTCAGCATAAATATGGTTAATTTCTCCCCCAAATGCATGCTGTGTATTCTCCATGGGCTGTATCCCCAGCAATCAATAAATGAACACAGTGATACTCTCTGCTGTCTTAATTTTCTCAAAGCTAAATGTCTCAGTCTCACATTATTTCATCCTTAACTGTTTTTAAAATCTTATTTTTCATAATGTGTGTATATAAAATTAGATATTACTAAATTTTACAGGAAAGATATATGGTAGCCAGGGATTTAACTCAGCAGTGTAAGCATCTGCCTGGCAAGCATGAAGTTGTGAGTTCGATCCTTGTTATGGAGAGGGGAAGGGTGTATATATATATATATATATATATATGCACACATATATATATATATATACACATATATATGTGTATATATATGTATATGGTAATAAAAGAGAGTGTGTTTTAAAAATTAGATGTTTGTGTCCTTGTTATCACATTTGTGTATTTCTTACTTTTTTAGCATGTTAGATTTTATTGCATTTTGCAGTTACATGATATGACACATGAAAATGGGACACTTATATTTGATTTGGCTTGTGTCTTTAAATAAAAAATATTTAGAAGGGGGCTGGAGATGAAGCTCAGTGGCACAAATACCTGTCTGGTAAGTGTGAGGTCGTGAGTTCAATCCCAGATGCCAAAAAATAAAGCAAGAATGTGAATGATCTCTTAATTGGCTTCGACTAGGTTATTCATTTGGTCAGAATTAGGTAAAAAGGTTAGACTGAGTTAACCCAAACTTATTTGTATAAATGTGTTGAAGATTATGAACTACAGGAGAGCCAGGATGAAGCAGGTTAAGGGAACTGAGATTATGATCATGTTTATATAGAATTGTGAGTTTAGAAGCATTTTCGTTAGAATTTTGTCTTTTTCATTTTTATCGGTACTGGGGATTGAACTCACAACTGCCTGCTTGCAAGGCAGGTACTTATGCCGCTGAGCTAAATCCCCAGCCCTCCTTAGAATTTTGAAGGGCAGGTTCCAGTTTTGCTATTGAGAATTCCTCAGCATTTTACTGTTTGTTTTTTACATATGAACTTTTTCTGGAAGCTTGTCCTAGTGGCCCAAAATTTCATAATAGTATGTCTTGGAACTAATTATGCATCCATCCTGATGAGCAGTTGGTATGTCCTTGTTCAAAAAGTCATATCCTTCAATTGTGAAAAAGTTTCATAAACTTGCATTGAAAGTCTCACCACTGTTTTGTTTGTTTTTTGGTACTGGGAATCAAACTCAGGACCTTGTTCTTGCTAGGCAGATACTGTCCTGCTGAACCATATCCACAGCTTCCCACTCTTTTCTTTTCTTTGATCTTAGCCAAAAGGCTGAGAAGCAATTATGTTTTGTTTTCTTTATACAGTTTGATATTCAGATGGAAGACCTCCTTTTAACCTCCTCCCCCACTTTTTAGCAGCTATTTTCTGGGATTTTTTTTCTCAACTCTAGCCTTTCTATCCTGTCCTTTATCGCTTTAGCTGTAGTACAAAGTTTGTGTTTGTGAGTGTGTATTTAAAATTCTTACTCTGGGATCAGAAATTTTATCTTTTTAAACTTCCCAATATTTAAGTTTTCTTTTGTTACCCAGTTTCCTCTGTGTTAGTCTTCTTTAGTTGGTTTGCATCTGTTTCCTGAGGCTTTCCTTAAATGTCAGATAATACTGGGTGATGGGTTGCTTGATAATTCAGCAGACTGCAGTGTCCATTGGCTGTTCTGTGGTAGCAGATGTAAACATCACTGTAGGTTCAACTGCCTGGGCTAGTTAGGAAGGCTGGATTTCTGCTTCCAGGAAGTATTTATAGTTCATTACTTTCTGCAGTTTTCAGTATGTCCTGCTCTCAGTTGGGCCTGGGAATCATAGTGTAGAGACTTCTGCCAAATCTCTGGGAACCAAACCTCTAGTTAGCATGGGGAAGGGGAGCTGCTATCCCACAGGAGGGTAGGAATCGAGTACTCTTGTTGACTGCTTTAATAGACTTGAGTCCATTTTATACTGGCATCTCCTTTTCATCTCCACTAATGTTCTCTACAGTTGCCAATCCTGAGATGCCTAGGGATTCTTACATGAATGTGGATGATTCTTAAGACTCAGTTTTGGTAGATCTGCTGAGTCACTAAGCATTTATTCATCTGCCTTCTAGCTTGTAAAGTTCTGTTGCTATAGTTCCCTTTTCTCCAACTTTTTAGGTTTGTGCTTGAAAACAAAAAGCACTTATCTAATCGTCTGTTGATATCATGGGTTTGGGAAGAGAGTGGAACTGTCTCTGTGGCTCGCGTTCCTCTTTATCCAGGTGTCATCACTCTGTACTTGAGAACAAGTGAGAAGGGAGTGGGCATAAGCAAAGGGTAAGAAATGTTCAACCGGTTATTAGGAAGGACATTAATCTTTATAAATAGGGAAAGAAAGCCAGATGTAACTGTTAAAAAGTTGGAAGTGACATTAAGTTTGGGTCACAGAAGCAGGAAGATAGCCATTGTTTTTGACCTTTCACTGTTAAAAAAAATAATTTGCTTAGTATATTGAAATTCATCTGTGAATTTGAATTCATAGTTGTCTCATTCTTGCTGATAGTAGCTCTTATAAACCATGACACACCAGGGATGCAAGGTTGATCTCTGAGGGTTGCTTGACCCTTGCCAGCTGCCACTTTTTCTCTTGAAATTCAGCCTAAAGGAATAGTGCAAGCCCAGAATTGGAACCAGCAACACTTGGGTTCAAATATCGGCTCTAGCCCTTGCTAACTGTAGCCTCAGATAAGCCACAGGACCTCTGTGACTTTTCCTTATCTGCAAAATATGGTAATGCTATCTGCAAAAACGGTTCCAGTGATTAGAGGTAACGTAGTGCTTAATAAATGGAAACCATCACCAGTTTTTTTCCCTGTTGACTAAATGTGAATATGCTCACCCAAGCATTCTTACTATGCTTTATGTTATTGAACTCATGTTCACTTGTCAATTTACTGGATAAATATCTCACTACCCCCAAACTTTGTTGATGTGAGAAGATACCTCAGGAGTTCAGAATTGGAGAGAAGAGAGAGAGATCTCAAAGGCAGAGGTGTTAGAAATTAGGGCTAATGGGAGAACTGAGCCCAGACAAAGGTATAGAGAATCCTTTTAAAATTTATTCAAGTAGGGCATTCAACAGGAAGCTGAAGGTAGAGCCAGATCCCCCTTGTGAAAGAGGCTCAAAAGCCTGGCCTTTCTGTGAAGAGAAATCTAGAGAACTAGTCCTCCAGCCCAGAGAGGGACGAATAAGGTTGCTACTGCCTACAGCTCTGGGTTAGGAGTAAAAGCTTCTTGGGAAGAGGTACCTTCCTGGGTCATGAATTATGTACCTGCAGCAAGTATACCACTTGGCCAATAATTTAACATCAACCTGCCCAAGGCAGATGACATTGCTGGGTCCTGGCAAAGACATCCCAGAAAGCCTTTGTAGGACCTTTCCATGACCTGGGGACAGGAAAGTCTGAGAAAACCACTCATTGAACATGAGCTCTAAATAATCACAACTTGGGATCTACTCATGGAGTATGCATTTTTTTGTTTTGTTTTGTTTTTGGTAGCGGGGATCAAACTTATGTCGCTAAGTTAAATCCATGGCCCTGGAGTATGCATCTTACTACTGGCTCAGGAGCTCCAGTGTGTTCACTGCACTGTCGGCAAAGTGAACCTTCAGAAACACGCATTTCACTTGCTAGAAGAAAACCACTTAAAAGACCTTTCATCATCACCAAAGTCTTAGGTCAGTGAGACTTGGTTTGACCCCATCCCTAACCCAAGGCCCTATTTCCCTGCTCTTCTCCAGCAGCGTTGTTACTGGGTGAATTGTCTCCTAAAAGATGTTGACATCCTAACCTCTGGTACCTGAATGTGTGACCTTTTTTGATCCAGTGTGCTGCTGTCCTATAAAAGGAAAATGCCATGTGGAGTCAGCCGTATGACCTTGGAATGGCAAGAATTGGGACTACCTGTACAAAGCTAGGAAGGACTCATCCCTACAAGTTTCAGACTGTTGACACCTTGTGTGGCCCTGTTGATACCTTGATTTTGTGTTCTTGTCTTCAGAAATAGAAAAACAACACATTTCTCTACCTCAGTTGTGAAATTTGGTTAGAGTAACCCTGGGAAGCTAATTTGAACATCAAATGTGTTCCAGCATTTTCTGGCCCCTCAGCTTCCAAAATCCTGCCCTAGATAACCTGCCCTATTCCCAGGAATCCTTGTTCAGGTGCCACCATTTCAAGGTGGTCTTGCCTGCCAGCACCACTAAAACTAGTAGCTGTGGCTTCTCTGCTTTGTTTTGCCTCCTTTATTTTTCTGCCTGATCCTTATCCATACATGACATTGTATTGTAAATCCTTTATCAGATCGCTGCCTGCCTCATCTGGAATATTAGTTCTGTGAGGGTAGAGACTGTCCAATTCATTGCTGTTTGCCCATTGCCAGCCACGTGCCTGCCAGAGTGGACTTTACACATACTTATTTCATAAAAGAATGAGCTACCTGAAAGAAGAGTTTAAAATTTTTTTCCTTTTATCTTCTCCATTACCTGCTATAGTGTTTTGTTCACAGTGGACATTAAATATCTGTGATAGACTAATAAGCCTACCACTACTGGCAGGCTGTAGGCTATGTGGTTAACAAGGGAAAGTAAAAATACACATCATTTTGACCTGGATTGGCTGGCCTTCTGTTGTAAAATGGTTGTGGAAATAATTGATCAGATTTCCCTGAGTAATCATTATATCTTAGCTTCTGTCACATGCAGCCACTGTTTCTCTTGTGCTGAACTTCCTCCCCATTCTCTTCTGATTAAGGAGACAGAGTTGAGTAATCTAAATTTAGTTCATGTAGCTCAGAGGTGTCAATCATGGCAAATAATGAATTAAGGGATCACCACCCCCTGCGCCTTCCCTGAAGCATTGAGCTGAAGCCAACAAATTCATTTTATTTAGAACCACAGGCTGAACTCAGAGTGTTGTCTGTGACAGGCGAGTGCTTTATTCACTAATTAAGTCACCCAGGCTCAGACAAACCCTTTCCCTCGTGGCAGGGCTACTGCTTATCTGAGTCACCCCAGACACTATGCTTTTAGTCTTCTGTTTGGTAATGGAATTGGTATATAATTTTATTAAAAATGTGTAAACCAGAAAGAATTCGTATGTATACATGGATAGCCCAAGTAGTTCTGCATCTGAAATTCATGATTTTTGGCTTAAAGACTGTATTCTGTTAGTTTTAAAAAAAGATATACTTTTCTTAAAAGTACTCTCATGTTTTTAATACGAGGGCCTTGGGTTAAAAATACTCTAGTATTCTTTAAAATATCTGCTTTCATTTCATAGAAACATAAAAAGTCATTGGAAATTTTTATACGAAATAGGCCATAGATTAGCAATAACAAGTGTTACAGTACTCTTTGTTGGAGCAAAGCAATGAGGGTTTGTTTCCAGTTATAAATATGACTGTAATATGTGCACTAAAGGCTTTACATATAGCGGTTCTGAGTTTTTTAAAGTCAGTAAGGACAATGCTATATGAGAATGAAATGATGCTAATTCATTTCTATTTTTATTTTATTATTGGTACCAGAAATAGAACTCAAGACCTTGTGCTTGCCAGCCAGGCATTTGTGCCACTGAGCTAAATCCCTGGCCCTGCTAATTCATATAAAAATGCTACATGGCTATATGTGATAAAGCTTTGTTATTAGTTTTTTTCTTTCTGATCAGATAGAAATTTAACGTGTTTCATTGTTGATTTTGTGAGGTTTGGCACATTTTTGCATCACCACAATCATCAGCATTCCTTGGAAGGGGCCACAAGCCCCTGTTATCACCTCCGAGCAGAAAGGACTCAGTACCCAGCATGGGCGGGGTGACTTATTCAGGGCCTCCCAGAGGTGCCCCAAAGGATCTCGCCTAGATCAGACGCCTTGAACCCAGGACCTTTTCTAATTATCTAAATTTCTATAAATTTCTAGCCCGGTATGTCAGAACATGAAACACAGCCTTTTGATGTAGTTAAGGAAGAATGGGTTCTGGTTTTAATTAGAGAAGTATATTATCCAAATTCTAACTTCTTTAAAGGGCAACTTCAAACTACTGCAATTTGGACTATGAAGGTCAGGAACTAGCAAAATCTATAGGAAGACAGTTTGATCCTTAAAGCAAGTTTTACCACCTTCCCCCCCCCCCTCAGGACACATCCGGCTTGGATTTAGGAATCATCTAGATAATATGAAAAACAATCTGACATCTTATATTGGAATTGTAACCATCACGGGGGCTACCATTAATAAACTAATTCAACCAAGAGAGAAATTTTAGCTGCGGAAAACTGGTTTTCAACTTGATCTAGTCTCTTCTTTCCTTACCTCCTTTAACCTTACCCAAAGACATCTCTGATCCATCTGTTTCAAATATAAACGCCTCCAGCCCCTATCTCCTTGACCTGAATTTATTCTTTTTTTTTTTTTTTGTCTTTTTCCTTTTTATTGGTACCGGGGATCGAACTCACGACTGCCTGCTTGCAAGTCAGGCGCTTATACCACTGAGCTAAACCTCCAGCCCCTGAATTTATTCTTTTTCTTAATGCTCATAACCATTAATAATAGTACATGAGATTACTTTTGTCTCTTCCCTAAATGCTATACAAGCCACCCCCTCTCCCCCTTCACTGCTACTTTCCCACAGAAAGTATTCAAAAGTTTGTGCGGTGAGTGATGTCTGCATTCAACCAAGGCCTGAGATTGTTCTCCACTATGCATTGAGCACACAGGGGCAGGGCTGACTGGTAAAGGCATGGAATGGGTAGAAATGGCTAGAAACGGGATGGGGTTGTTCCTCTTGCTGCCTCTGTGCCGTCTTGGGGGTTGGGCGGCTAAATTGTCCTGAAGGGATCTTTCTTAGAACTGCATTTGCCAGCTTGACCTGTGTTTTTCTTAAAAATGCCCTCATATTAGCAGTATAAGATTCACTTAGTTGTCTCATCTGTCAAACTGCTACACAGACGTGCTGCAGAGAGCTTGGATAACAACATTATCCAATTTTATATTAGGCGCTATTATTTGTTTCTGAAAACAAAGCCAAACAGTAACAGCTGTTCTGTTAATTAGGCAGGCAAACTAGAGAACTGAGGCAAAATCATCCTCGTATCTAAGTAATGATAATGAAAATGTCTAAAGTCTTTTGCCGAGTCGTGGCTGCCATTTCTGCCTCGGCCAGGTTGGTAGAAAGGAGCAGATCTTTCCAGCGCAAGGAGTCTCCCGGGATTCTGATGCCGCACCAAGGATCCGATATTATCTCAGCTCACAGCCCTTCCTTAAAGAAGAGGCGGCTCGCAGCTCAGCCGGCTCTTGAAAAGGGGCTCTCCCGCACCCCACATCCTTCCCGCCCTTCAGACCACGCCCCCCGCCAAGCGGCAGGGAATTTGGACAATTCTACACCCGGCGAGGTCCCGCCCCGCCCCGCCCCGCCCCGCCCCGCCCCGCCCCAGCAGCGAATGACTGGCTCCTTGAGGAGGGCGTGTCTTCGTCAGGCCCCGCCTCTACCCGGCAGCAAATGGGCGAGTGCCTGCAAAGGCGCTGGTTGCCGCCACATATGATAAGGGACTGGGCCCCTGATGGGCAGCGCTTCCCCAGTTCTGCTCTAGTTGGGCCAGTACCCCAAGGCACCGCGGTTCTCTGCCTAGGCTGCTCCGGAAATGCTTTCAGCGGGCACAAACATGGCTGCGGCCTTGCGAGCTGCAGGCGGCCTGCTCCGCGGTCCGTGTAAGTGGGGCTGACTCACCAGGCGCCGAGACTGGGGTCACTCCGACGGCGGGGCGCCCCTGCCTGGGGACTGCGGGAGCGGCAGTGGGCTTCGCGAGGAGTGTGGCAGAGAGGGGACTGGGACACACCCTGCCCAGGGAGGGGCGAGGGGAGCAGCTAGAGCACCAGTGGGCACCGAGAGGCGCGGGTTCTAGTCCCATGGGTCAGCCGGTGGCCGAGAGCAGTGGCTGGATTTCTCAGAGACTTAGTTCTTGTCATCGGTAGGAACACGATTGCTTTGGCCATTACGGAAGGGCAGTAATTATAGGCATGTCACCGAGAGGACAGTAACACAGTTATCCTCGTCATCACAGCCATCATCATCCACTCAGCACTTCTGTCGCGCGGCAGAGGTCATGATGTGCCCACTGTTGTTTTGCCCTAGCTCTTGGTGTCATTTCTGGGCAGCAGGCCCCTCCGTGGGGCAGACCTGGCCAATGTTTTCTAAATAGACAACCTCGAATGGTACTGGCACACTCTGAATGAAAGTTGTGTCCCCTGGGTGAGCTGATGAACCGGTTTGCCATAGATTAAGAGGATTATAAGTGAAGCAAGCAGCATGGTCCCTGGTATACAGTAAGTGCATAAAGACCCCGAAATGTTCACACATTAATATAAAATGTCTCAAAGATAATTTTTAACTGTAACCAGACACAGACTTACGTTTTAAAGGAGTTCCCCAATTTATTAGTCTGGCACCAGCAAGGAGTGGAGAGAATCCACTCTGAACCTCCACATCTTATTATAAATGTCTTTAGTAGGAAAATAAGGACCCAAGACACAAAGAAGATCAGCTCACTAAGGACCCTGGAAGACAAAAGGCGCATTATCTTTTAAGAGGCAGGACAGTACCAGTAGTGGGCTAAAGAAAGTATTGAATTAATCTTTTCTTAAATCAACCTTTGCTGTGGCAAATAAAGTCTGACAGACACTAGGTCTGAAGGTCATTGAACGGTTTGAAAAACTTTACATTATTTTCTGTTTAAAGTACAAGTGACTAAGTGAAAGTAGAAACTTGAGGATTTGAATTTTTTTTTTTTTTTGAGGATTTGAGTTGTTACATACTGATTTTAAGGTGTTTTTGTGGTACTTTAATTTTTTTTTAAAAATCGATACCGGGGATCAAACTCACGACCGCCTGCTTGCAAGGCAGGTGCTTATGCCGCTGAGCTAAATCCTCAGCCCCTGGTACTTTAAATCTTGATTAATAAGAAAAGATTGCTTCTGAAAATGAATTATGGAAGTAGAAGTAAAAAAGCCATTTTATGTACTATATGTTTAGCATAGTATAAAATTAATGTCTTGGCTGTGGGAGGTATATATCTCCATACATATACATGTTTATATGTATTATTGATTTTGTTCCTATACTGAGCTTATGTCTTTATTTTTTATCATCGGTACCGGGGATCAAACTCAGGACTGCGTGCTTGTAAGGCAGACACTTATGCCACTGAGCTAATTCCCTGGTGCCCTAAGCTTATGTCTTTTTTTTTTTTTGGGCCCTAAGCTTATGTCTTTTTTTTTTTTAAATCGGCTTTTGTAATTAGAAAAATCCAGGATAGTAGAAATGAGTGTTGGTGTTTGAATAAAGTCATTAGAAAATATTTTGGCTTTACGCTAGAAAAATAGCAACTTTTAAAAATGTGCTTCCTCACGGGTATTTATCGTTTGTCACAACATAGAATCTTATTTTTACTAATAATTTTAAAATAATATTTTTTTCTTTTTTTTGGCACTGGGATCAAACTCACGACCTTGTGCTTGCCAGGCAGGCGCTTAAGCCGCTGGGCTAAATCCCTGGCCTTAATAATTCATATTGTCTAAGCAGTTTTTTTTTCGTTTGTTTTATACCAGTAATCAAATTTAGGGACCTTGCCCTTGCCAGGCAGGCACTATGCCACTGAACTATATCTTTGACCCTGTAAGTACTTCTTTTTAAATAATTTCTATTTCTTACGTGATAGAAAATGGCTCTATTATGTATTTAAGGACTTGTCTATCATCCTCTGCTGTATCTCCAAACATCCGAAATCTTTCTCTTTTTTTGTCGTTTTCCTTTTTATCGGTACCGGGGACTGAATCCACAACTGCCTGCTTGGCAAGGCAGGCGCTTATGCCGCTGAGCTAAATCCCTAGCCCCTAAACATCCAAAATCTTTAATTTGTTTTTTTTTAAATTTTTTATTTAAAGAAAAAAAAAACAGTATAAGGGTACAAGTAATACAGAATTACAAAAAAAAAAGGTAAGAAATCACTAGTTAATAGATTACATATTGTCATCTTAGAAATAGTTGTTCACTTTAATTTGGTTTTGAAGAATCAGTTGGTATTCATTAATGTAAGTCATATGTTTGCTTTTGGATGATTCCCCTATTGGTATTGTCTAGGAGCTATAAAGCTTTGTTTTCTTTGTTGTTGTTGTTGTCATCTTGGTGAGATAAGGTTTCACAATGCAGTTCTGGCTGACCTTGAACTCAGTTTGTAGCCCAGGCCTCAGACTCACATCCATCTTCCTGCCTCAGCTGCTAGAGTGCTGGGATTACAGGCATGCACCACCAGGCCTGACCACAGCTTTGTTTTTTAACATCATCTTCTCTTTTGGATATCCATCTCTTTGATAGCTTTTGCTGTTTGTAGACCTTCCACATGTAGACCAGTTGTCCATTTAAAGGGTGGCAGTTTAGGGTCTTAGTTCTCAAGCAGGTAAGTCTACACTTTAAGTATTACCGACTTGAACCACATGCAGTATGTCAGGCACTGTTATTGAAGCGCAGAGTCTCCCCTCCCTGTACCCTAATCTTTACAACAGTGCTTTAGGCTGGCCTTATCACTGTTTCACAGATGGGAAAGTGAGACTTTCAGTGGCTTATTGAGTTGCTCCACGAAGCCACATAGCTCATTAGTCCTATGTGAAATTTCTGCTCAGATCTGTCTGGCTACATAACACATTTTCTACTACACAGTGCTTGCTGCCTGTGCTTTTGGATTCTCTTTAGCTGTGAACTTAGTTTATTAAGGTGTTTCAGTTTGTCCTTTGTTGGAATGATTATTTTAAACTCTTTTAGCTAGACAAACTAATCATTTGGTAGGAAACACTCTTTACTCTGCTAGAAACTTTAGCTCATTAGTGGAGTAGGGTGTTTTAGAGATATCTTTAAAGGATGAGTGTATTTACCTTGAGTCCCAAATGGAAAGGGTCCATTATTAGCGTCATGGTCCTTAGCTGAGAATTTGATTGACCATGGAGAAGAGAATTTTTGAAGGGCACAGTAAGCATGTTAAAGGCATGTTAAGCAGCTTGAGAAGGTACCACTTCCCAAACTAGGAAATTCTAACTAGTCAGAGAATATAGTCCCACCTCAACTTCCTATTTTAGGTCTGTGGGGGTGAAATCTTATGTATGACCAGCAGCCAAATTAAGGAAGCCAAAGTTCTTTTGAAATGGAATATGCTTATCCAGTTTATGTTGGGAATTGGGGACATTGCAGCATGATTAAGAATGTGGTTAAATCTCACTTTGTAGTTTAGAATTAAGTTTCTCTAAAATAAGGAGATGTGTGTTGAGTGTAATTGCACTTCTTTATTTCAATCTTTGTACTGCCGCTTGGACGTAGTAAGCATTACTCAGCACTAAGTTACATAATTGGCTCTATTGGGAATAGGGACAATGTGAATAGATGGGAACCTAAGTGTCCTGGAAATACCATTTTCCTATACTTTGTACACATGTTGGGTGATTTTTTTGAAAACTAGAAAAGTTGTAGTTTCCACTGTCTGGAAACTTACAAATGAAATGAATGCTGACAGTAATTATGTGGCAGACACTACAGAGCACTTTACTTGTCATATTTGCTGTAATCTTCATGAGAGTTCTAGTAGTAAGTGTCATCATTTTATTGCTGGGGAAATTCAAGCTCAGAAAGATTATAACTGGGCCACAGGACACATTACTAGTAAATAACAGCTGAATTTATAGGGCTTTATGGCCTAAATACCTCCCCAGGGTTTTGTGGCCTAGGGAGAGACTGAGACCTGTCTCAAGTTGGAGTGCTAGTGGGGAGGTATGTCAGGTGTACCATATGGGACCAGGTGGTGGCTACAGTCCCACAATACCATCTTTACTGTATGGCTTCAGTTTACTGTTACTGTATTTTTAAGACCAACACTGTTCATGCTACAGCTGAAGATGGCAAGTGGACTCCTCAATTCAGGGAATTTCTCCAGGCTCCTGAGGGGCCCAAGTCAGAAGTACACAGGACATATTTATCATACATGAGATGGCAAGTTGAGCTGGATTATGTTCAGTATTCTGATATTGACAGATGGACCTTTGTAATGAGTTAGGAGGGTGACCTGTCAAACTCAAGCTTCTGAAGAAGTGTGGAGGCCTTCAGTGAGTTGCGCTGCAGGCCTGCTTCTCTTCCAACCTCTGGCTCTTCCCTGTCCCTGTTTGACCATTCTTCAGGCCAAGAATTGCTTACATTCAAGGCACTATCTGCTCTCGCGGATGGATCCAGCCTGTGCCGACAGGGAGTTCTCAGGTCTTGGAGCCAGGATGGTCCGGCATGCTGGGTGTGGACAGAGAGGCACATCTCGTGGGCTGTGCAGACTGTAAACCTCATAAGGGAAGGGTGCAGTGAGGAGAAGGGGAAAGAAGGCCTTGTAAAGCACAGGTTCCCCTTTTAGGGTCCAAGGGTGATACTGGGGTTCCCAGTACTGTGTTATACTAGAAAAGGTTTAAAGTCAGAAATGAAATCTTTAGCTAGTTGCAATGTGGCCCAGTTTCCATTCCCTCCGTCAGTGGCTCTTCTTTTCTCTGAGCACTTTGCTACTGCCAGTAACCGTCAGAATGTGCAGTGATCTTGTAAGGAGTCATCTCAAAATCTGCAGCCAGGGAGGGGAAGTGTATGTGTGTGGCTTCTAAAAAGCCTCCCTGCAGGCTCTCATAAGCCATCCTATGCCCCATCCCCTTGGAAAGCCCTAAGTGCCTTTACCTGCCTGCAGAGAAATGTTAGGAAAATCACCTCTGCCATCCCATCTCTTTAAATTTTAAAGCCAAGAATTATGCCCTGAGGACCTCTTCAAAAGAAATTACTTTCCAGCTAGATTTCATGCTAGCACTTTAATTTTGTCACAGTGGTGCATGGCAGCTTGAAGACCCATCAGCCATGGAGGTGCCAGTTGGGTACAGCAGCAGCAGTGACCACCTCTACAGAGACAGCTCAGCGTACTAAAAGTGCAAAACCTCAAGTTCAACCAGAAAAGAGGTGAGTTCAATTTTAGGTACAAGTAAGGATTTCTCTTCATTGTTGCAGACACCAGTGGATGCAAGTTACCTAGGATAAAAGGTATTGGGAAAACCCAGGGTATTAGGAATGGAATGTTGTTTTCTTGGCTTCTTTTTGTTTGGCTTCCTTTTAACAGCTGTTAAAACAGCTACAGGTTTTTTTTTTTTTTTTTTGTCTTTTTCCTTTTTATCGGTACCAGGGATCAAACTCATGACTGCCTGCTTACAAGGCAGGCGCTTTATGCCGCTGAGCTAAATCCCCAGCCCCACAGCTACAGGTTTTAACACTCCATCTCTTCAACTGAGCTTTTGTTAAAGAACACATAGTTGAGCACAAACAGACTGCAAATCTTGCACAATTTGGTTCTGCAGTATGTCACATACACAAATTATGTCTATGCTGGAACATGTTTATTAACCTAATGTAATTATGTTTATATAATGTATGTCTTGTACGGGATAAAGAGTAATCTACCAAGAATTCCTTTAGGAAACTCTACCATTGTTTTTCATCTTTTAACACATGAACATAATTACAAGTGACATATTATAGCTTATAAGTTATTTAAAATGTTAGCGGGCAGAGGATGAAACTCAGTGGTAGTGTTTGCCTAGTGTTCATATGATCTTTATTTAAATCCCCAGCACCAAACATAAAATAGAGAGTACATTTTATAACTCATCGCTTCTGTTTGCTGGCACAGGGCAGCAGTCATGATAGTGCTGAGTTTTCTCAGCCACAGCTGTCTCCTTGTCTTCCTCTGTACAGCAACTACAGCAGATTTTACTAAGAGAATTTACTTAGGTGAAACAGCTCACTTTAAAATCAGGCAAAGTGACAGAAGAAATGTGGCTGTGACCAATTGTGCTAGACTAGATGTTGTTCTAGGAAAGTTATATAGCAATGAAAATAAAGTATTCTAATTTTGTGTTTGTTACTATTCTTTGTGGTTTTGGATTTGTTTCTTAAATGCAGCTGAAGTGTGTTAAGGAGGGGCTTTGGAGTGGAGCCTCAAATTATCTCCAAACTCTGCACTTCATATATATGAATACATATATATGAAGTATATCTCTATATATCTATATATGAATATATATGAATTATATCTATATATATCTATGTATCTATCTATATATATATATATATAGAGAGAGAGAGAGAATGTGTGTGTGAAAATTTGATACAGGGGCTCTAGTTTGCCAGACTGTTCTAGAGGTAGCATAGATCCACAGGTCAGTTGCATCTTATAGGTTTAATTAAGAGCTGGAATTTTTTTTGTAATGCTGATTATATATAGAAGAACACAATTATTGTTTATTAATTGAAGAGTTCAATTTTCTGCTATGTACCTTTAATAGTACAAAGGGAAAACCTCATATTTTGAGATTGCCAGAGTACAAAATATGGCAAAACATTTAAACCTTTCCAAGGAAGTTTTAAAATATGTTTTTCTTTCTCACTTAGATATTTAAACAGAGAGAACTTGACCAGTCAGACCTTGGTCTCAGGTGTGCTCTGTCTGAGGGCGAGATGGAGACCCTTGACTAAAGCTTTGCACTTCACATTCTGGAATAGAGCGGAGTCAGCCTCGTCTTACTAATGCTCCATTCATCATGCACAACACAGTTTTGAATTAAATGCATGAGTATTTGAGTATTTTCAAATCGCATGTGTCTCTTTCATGTCTAAGATCAACATCAGTTTGTAAAACCTTGAGCAGGGCAGAGTAAGTTCACGTTAAAGCCACTCTTGTTTTGAGCTCAGGTGTTATAGATGAAAAACACTGTTCTAAATCTCGTTTGCACATTGATAACCTCTGTGGCTTAGGTAAGTCTTTTAGCCTGGGGTTTCTTAACCAGTAATCTGTTAACTGGCAGCAATCCACGGGAAAATGCACTTAATATATTGTGAGTCACAAATTTTGAGGGTGACAAGCAGGAGAAGACTGGTGGTTTAAGTACAGAGATTAAGGGAATATTATGGCTTCACAAAATGACACATCTGGAATTTTGAACAGCTACCCAATTTTTATTTTTTTTTGGTATGGGGTCGAACTCATGACCTCATGCTTGCTAGGCTGGCGCTTATGCCACTAAGCTAAATCCCTGGCATACATCTGGAATTTTTAGGAAGCAAGAAAAGAAAACTTTGCACAACTATGAATTTAGTGTTAGGATTTCCCTGTGGAAAATTTTCCAATAATGACATCGTCAGCATAGTTCCTTGGTTTAGTAAAAAAAGGATCAAATCTTATAATCTTTTATCTAAATTGGAAGATTTCTGACTTTGTTGTACCATGTCTCCTTATCTGTGAATTGGTTCTTATGCTAAAAGTTTGAATTGAGGATTCAGATTTCTACTTCATTCAACTGCAGTGTGTTTGATCAAAAAATGACTTTTACCTTTAGATTTGACATTCTGCTGCCTAACATTATTGCCAAAAGTTAACAATTTTAAAAAATTGCCAGTGAAGATTGTTATTATAATATCATTCATTTTAGCACACATTGCAAAAAAGACTTCCAGAAGAGCCATCACAGCAGTCCTCTGGTTTTCATCATTGGCATCACGTGGCTCTGCCTTCATGGGGACATGCAAGGCCCCTGGTCCTCCATGGCCCAGCCCAGACTCCTACCTTCTGGTTTCGAGTCTCTGGTTGTGGTTTTCTGGATCTCCCAGTGCAGATGGAGGCAGTTGGTTCTGTTCTGGGTTTTACCTTGCTCCTGGCAACATTTTGGAAGTAGAGAACGCTTAGCCTGGCTCCCTTCTGGCTGTGTAGTTCCCATAGCTGTGTGAAATTTACAAGTTTACATTTGTGTTTAGCATTTCTGTTTGTTTATTTCCTAGAAGCTAGGTGATTTAAAACATTCGTTACTGAGTTTTCTTTTCTTTTCACTTTTTCCTATTCATGCAATGCTTGATTCTTTAGCTTAGAATGAATTTGAACATTTAGTGTAATTTTCTGCAGGAATTATCTAAGCAATAGATTTACAGGGAAGATGGAGGGATGAACAGAATGAGAGATGTAGTTTATCATAGCAGTATATACTGAGGAAGGAGTAAAGGCAAGCACTGGAAAAGGAAGCCTAGTAGAAAGAAAAAAATGTAAGCTAGGAGTAATTATTAAATTAAAGAGAAAGAAGCAGAGAAAAAGAGTGAATGAAGGGCTCTGGATTGTGCCAAATGACACCTTGTCCACTGGTTTCTCCAAGGGAGTCTTTTGAGGTAGAAGGTGGACTTTAGCGTGTGGGGGAACTTGGAGTTTGCATATTTATTAGGGACTAACATGGATGGATTCTTCAGCCTCAGAACAATTTTAGATTTCTACCTTGACTCCCAGTCTCTAAAGAATTTGATCTGATCAGGGCTGGCAGGTTATGGGGAAACAGAATGAGCCCATTGAAGACCAGTGTTGTGGATGGAGCTAAGAGACAACAAGGTCAGAGTGTGAATGAGATAATGGAGAGGTGGCAGCCCCCTTGTTCCCAAACTGCTGTCAGATAACAGCAAAAAGGTGTCTGGATTTTACTTTTGCATCCAGATTAGATGAGAGCTTGATTGCTGAACTAAGCATCTGTTTTAAAGGAAAGTAAAAGTGTGACAGATCAGCGGTTGGCATTTGATTTTCATATAGGAAACCAAAAACTGGAATACTGATGCTAAACATGGGAGGCCCTGAAACTCTGGGAGAAGTTCACGACTTCCTGCTGAGGCTTTTCTTGGATCGGGACCTCATGACACTTCCTATTCAAAAGTAAGAACATCTAAACACCTGCACTTTCTAAAGTAATGTATGCAGTGCCTGTGGCCTCACGTGTAGCTGAACTGTTTAGTTAAAAAAAAAACTTAAATAGTTTTAATCTGTGTGTGGTAGTGGTTTCAGTAGCAGCATTATTTTCTTTTGACCATCAGACAGATAATGACATGGGAAGAATTGCAGAGCAGAGCTGGTCAGTGAGCATTTTCCTTGAGCCCTTCCTCCGGAGAGCCCTGGCAGTTACAGCTGTCTGGACACAACTGAAGTGCCTTTAAAGATTTTTAAAGATATATTTATACTTGGCACTTTAGTGATTGGTTAACACTTAGGGAAGCAATAATTATTATTCATTTGTACTTTTATACGGGTTGTTCCTATTTTTTTCTTTTCATTCTTTCCTCCCCACCTCTCTTCTTCATTTCAAAAAGGTTTTACAGTTAATACATGCATATGATTAAAAATGCAAATAATATAAAAATGCTGTAAGAAGCAAAGATTCTTTTTTTTCTTGAACTGTAGCTTTCCAGTTGCCCACCTGGAAATAAGCAGTTACATTTATAAATAGTTAGTGCACATCCAAACATATGTGTACACATGTCCCTCCCTTATTTTGTTACACAAATATGAATGTACTCATGTACATTACTTGTCACTTTGCTATTTTTTAAACTTAACCGTGCATCTTATTTCATACTAGAGTATATAGATCTGGCTCATTATTTCACAACTGTTTAGAGTTGTATAGTTTTACCTTTAACGTGTGTGTTCACTGATGAATAGTTGTTTATAGTACTATGTTCAACAATATTTTGCATACATCATTGTTCATATATGTAAGTATAAGATATACTTGCAAGTATACATTTTGTTACTTTCATGAGCTGGGTACTTTCTATGTCATTGTTTTCTTCTCTTTTTGATTTTTTGAGACAGAGTCTCTATGTGCCAGGCTGGCCTTAAACTCATGATCTTGCCTTAGTCTGCTTCCTATGTCTTCTATCTAATTCTTGTTAGGTCCAGGATCAAAACATAGGATAGTGTCTAGCATCCAGGGTTCTCTCCATGGATGCTGAATATCCCGACTCTTCAGTGAATGATGCTAGAACAACTTTGGAGTATAGGGGAAGATATTCCTAGCTTTAGTGCTCTATGCCAATTTAATTGGGCTCTTGTCAATACCTTTAAGCTTCCATTTTTTAAAGACTTGTTAGGTTTCTCTTAAATTTTTGCTTATCGTTTTTATAGAGTAGGAAATATTTCTCAGGTAAGGTGGAATAAAATCCACTTAACCTACATGTTAAATGATTTAGTAAGCTGGCACCATTCATCGCCAAACGCCGAACCCCCAAAATTCAAGAGCAGTATCGCAGGATTGGAGGTGGATCACCAATCAAAATGTGGACTTCCACGCAAGGAGAAGGCATGGTGAAGCTGCTGGATGACTTGTCCCCTGACACAGGTATGACGTGTCTCTATTAACACAGTGCTACGTTTGTTCTTTCAGGGTAATTACGAACTTTAAAATAGAATTGGATGCCAAATACTGTTGTTTGTACCTACTCTTCATTTGTGAGTTTCTTGTAGTACATAGTCATTTACCTGAGTTCTCGAGGTGCTATCCTGATACTCCAGAGTACTGCCATTATTTCCCATGTTACAAGTAAAACAGTTAAATTTGGAACAGTTCAAGGCATTAAGTTGGGATAGCTTTTAAGGCACATGTGATGTAACATGAATAGAAGGTGCATATCTCATTGTACTTGAAAAGAAATCTTTAGGAAATGGATTGAGACTGCAGCTAGGACCTTTTCTTTCTGGTTGGATAGCTAATTAGATCAACATTTAGAGCTGAATTACTGAAACCAGAGATACTAAGCAACTTTCTGTGATTGGTTTCAGCTCTTAGCAGATATTGGCAGGTATTGAAGTAGCGCATTGGACATTGCACAAAAAATGATTTTGCACATGATAACAGCCCCATTCATGGGCAGAATAAGACATTAAATGCATAAATGAACTGCAAGTGTCATGTTTAATTGTATTCAAGACACACTTGATTGTAGGATACACTATTTTTGCATAATAAGTCATACAAAATACTGCTGATTAATTTTAAGACTTAGATGTGGATAAATAAATGTTAAAAGTGAAAAATACACATGTTAGGATCCCAAAATACATTCACTGCCATTTTAGGGCCTTAGGACCCAGCACAGGTATGTGACACTGTGGAAATTGTCAAACAGCCTTGTTAGGCAGGACCAAAAAGAACATTCCTCTTCTCTGAGATGTCATCGTTTAGCCTCCGCTAGAATTACTCTCAGAAGTGAGCATTTCCCATTACACAAAGAGACTAAGGTTGCTAGTCCCTCTGCAGACCATCTCACTCGGAAAATTGTTCAATTGCGCTTTTGAATATTAGATTTGTATCCTGTCTTCCCCTGTGGCTCAAGGGCATTTCTTGTGCAGTTCAGCCATACATGCCAGAGTGAATCTTTTTAAATATTGGCAGTGGGAAACTTGCCTGCTTTGCACTTAACTCTTACTTGATAGCAAACAACCCTGCTATTAATAAGATTTAGTATGAATTAGACTTGTACTTTATTTATGGGAAACATGCAGAAATTTTTTCCCCATTTACATGTTACCATAAAGACATCAAATTTGAGAAAGGAAAACAGAGAGACATCCTCCCACCTCCTCCTACTTTTTTGCTCTCTGTGGTGAGGCTGTTGGATGGTCCAGACCAGAAAGGCCAGCTGTGGTCACTGCCTCACAGGTTGACTGGACAGGGTCCCACCAAATAACTTGGTGTTAATCCAGTGTACCTCTGACTGTTGAGCATCTATCTGATCATTTTACTGGATGGTCATGTAGTACAAAGGTGGGAAATTACAAGTGTGAGGATTTGGGGGTTCAGAGATTCTTTGCTTTGGTAATTATCAAAAAAACAGTTGCATCTACTTTATGCAAAAATGAGTTTTAAAAAAATGCTTAAAATATTAAGTATTCTGTCCTCTGCATGCTTACTTTAAATGGTCCATTCTTCTCTTTTTTTGTTTTCTCTTTTTTTGTTACCAGAAATGAAACTCATGACCTTGTACTTGCCAGGCAGGTGCTTGTGCCACTGAGCTATGTCCCCAGCCCAGTGGTCCATTACTCTCTTCTGTAATGTGGGGGATAAGTTTCAAGAGTTCATGGTGCATGTGTTCTCTTGGTGGCTTGCCTGTCTGGTTACTAAATCGCTCCTAATGTGTCAGCAAACTGCCTTTTTCTTTTGCTCATGCTGTTCTTCATCTACAAGTTTCAACAGCCATGTATCCTTCATTCATTCTGCCAGCCACCAGCTCTGCATCAGCACTGACCACTGGTGAGGTACAGTGCTGCAGGACAGGGTGGTGAGTTAGTCACACCTCACCAGCATGGAGCAGCTTGTCTGGTAATTCCCATTGACATGAACAGGCACCTCTCTGGGGGACTACTTTTGCTTTCTGTGGATCTTTAAAGCTTATGCAGGATACTAATCCAGAGTGGCTATTGATTTTGGTGACCCTTTGGCAAATTATCATCTTCTGTGGCCCATACTTGTGCGCCTGGAGGCATACCAGTTAAAGTTTGACTTTTTCTTGCATGGTAGATGACCACTCCTAATCCCTTTACAGGCCTGCTTTGCAGACCTGGTAGTAGTATTGAGTGTGACTACCTATTCATTCATTCTGTAGCAGTCCTATTATTTAGAGTTGAAAGTCATGGTTTCTACTTATAAGAAGTTTCCAGTTCAGTGAGACTGCTGCTTCAGGCATTTTGCTAAGAGAGAAAAAGTTTTCTGGGGACTTAGGGAAGATGGTGCATGACATGTATGAGGGCTGATGAGCGCACAGAATGCAGGTGTGTAAAAGGTGAAACAGTCTCAAAGCATGGGAACTGCTGAGATCACTAGGTGGGGCTCTGCAGCTCCCTCAGGGCCTCCCCAGGATGCCCAGCAAGTTGCTGCTTGTCCTGCTGCTCACACTTTACTGAGTGGGCATAAAGCTGAGTGATGACACCTTTTTTTTTTTTTATTAATTAGGTTTGCTTGTACATTTTAGGAGTCAGCTCCCTTCCTAACTCACACTCTCCATGTTTTTTTCTTTCCATTTTTTTCTTATTCCTCCTCTTCTGTGGTCTGAGTGTGGTCCCTAAAACATGCATTAGAACCTTAATCCTCAAATTCATGTTGATAGTGTTTGAGGTTGGGCCTTTGAAGGGTGAGTGGAGTTAGCTGAGGTTCTGAGGTTGGGACCCCTCATGGTGGGCCTCAGGGGCTTTGTATGGAGAAGGAAGACCTGAGCCATTGCACATGCTCTGTCTCATGATGTGATCCCCTCATCATGTCACAACACAGCAGTGGGTCTTTGTCTGGTGCTGTGCTCTTTGACTTCCCAGTCTTTAGAACTGTGAGCCAAATGACCCCTGTTCTTTATAATTACCCAGGCTCTGGTATTCAGTTACAGCAACAGAAACTGGATGAAGACATTCTTTATTCCTTGTTTTTCCTACATGATTACAAAGTTTACTTTTGAATTGTATCTATTTGGTTATTTCTGTTAGAAAACATCAAGCAAGAAAATGTGATGAATGCAAACAAGTAAAAATGTCATAAGCTGTTGTTTTAGGGACATTGGTGTTGCCTGGCAGTTAGTATGGAAATTTTGAGACTTGCATTGGCTTTGTGCAGAATTGATCAATTAACTAATGCATTGAGTTATAGCTGAATATGGCTTGGGCATGCTTTCATGTAATTACAATTCATTAAAGTAATATAGTGAAGAGAAAAGGAAATAGGTGAGAAGTGTAATCCCTTTGTAGAAAGCCTTAAGTCTAAGATACGTTTTTAAAAATTACGGTTTAATTCTTTGAACTGTGACTGCTTTTAACGAAGCAAAGGTGCACAATGGGTAGGAGCTGGGATTTGGTTTGGCTGATGCTGGCTTCCCCTCCTGCTTGTATAACTTCAAGCAATTTACTTAGTTCACTAAGCTTCAGCTCCAAGAGGGAGAATAATAGAATGCACTCCTAGGATCCTGATGAGAATTAAACAAGTTAATCCTGGACGGCATTTAGCCTTCTTAGTACATGGTAAAAATCCACTAAGTGTGAGCTTTTATAGCTTATTAATGCAGAATTCATGATGTGATGCAAATTTAGAAGCATCATGCTGCGTATTTTAAACCTTTCTTTCAAAGAATCATGTCACACATTGAAACTGTTATGCATGCTAAATAAATGAAGCTTTCTGTTTAAAAATCTCGTTTTTCTGTCTTTTTATTGTTCTCTTGAAAAGCTCCACTGGGCTCAGAGGGCATACTGGGCGAGGCCAGTGAGTCCTGTGTTCAGGCATCACTGTGGCGAGATGTGGCACCTTCTCCTCCCTGTGTTCTGCCTGGGACAGCCAGGTACAGCAGGAAATTTAGTATGATCCACAAGATCCTTTGTGAATACCATTTGTTGGTTCCTCAGCATGAACATAGACAGGAGCACATTGCCACTTTTTCTAAAATAATTTGTTTGCAGACCTTATTTTATTTGTTTATGTCTTTTTGAGGCGGGGTGTCTCTATGAAGTGACCTTGAGCTTAGATTGGCCTTGAGCTTAGTTTGTAGCCCAGTCTGGTCTCAAACTTGCAACAGTCCTCCTGCCTCAGCCTCCTAAGTACTGGGATTACAGGCATGTGCCACCACGCTTGGCTGTTTGCAGAATTTCAGAAAGCATTATCTGTTCTTCCCAGAATATTTTACTCTTGCTCACTTCAAGATGTGGTCACCCACTTTGACTGTATCTGCTAGAGCAGCCTTTCTACCCTGAGTCTGTGCTATCTGAGGAACTTCCAGGCCCGAGGCAGTTAGACTGCATTTTCAAATACTGGACAGGTGAAAAGACATTGTGAAAAACTGGTTGACCTGCAACATCAGGGTTCTCACTCAGTCATTTGATAACTGTATTGCTTCCAAGTAGATTAGAAAGCAGTTTCCAGCTGCTTGCTAAGCCTTGGCTTGATTGCCAAGAGTTGCTTAAAAATGAACTGCGTGGTACTGTGAGAGTGAGTAATTTTCACATGAAGCACCTGGTCACTGAACAACCAGTGTTTTGGAGTTTGCTTGTAAGGTCATATCCACTGATGTGTTTTAACTCCAGTTCACCTGTTTTATGCAAGAGAGCATAAAGGGAGAAGGACCAGAAGGGGCCTCTCGTATTCCTCCCTCTTTCTGCAGACTGCAGTGTGTGAATACTGAATTGCATCATGCTTTCCACACACATCCGGGCTTCTTTTACCTATTGACATTATGCTTCTGTCCTTAGTAACATGTTCCATTATTTTATAGTTCATGGATCAAATTATGGGGGATATTCTCCATGTATATATCCATATATGTATGTATATATCCATATATATATATATATCCATATATATATAGAATAAACTTATTTTACTTTAACCTATGCGTTTCGTTTCTTTTCTTTTCTTTTTACCGGTACTGGGGATCAAACTCACAACCTCATACTTGCCAGGAAGGCACTTATGCCACTGAGCTATATCCCTAGGCCCTAACCGACGTGTTTCTTGTGGCAGTTTTGTTTTGCATTTTTCCTTGCAGCCCCTACAAATGTTTTGGATAATAACTTCATCTTGGTTTTATGATTACGTGACATTTGTGTAGAGTATTCTCAGTATCATCTTAGTTTTGTATGAGCTTATAAAAGGCAAGGAAACAAGACCAGGTAATTTTAGAACATTTTCAGTTTCATGATTTTGGGTATGGCTGAGAAGTTATGTGATGTGGATGTCTTTGAAATGCCTAAAGATAAAAATGGTAGAAAGGGGAGTTGGTAAATCAAGGAAGGAGAAAAAATACGAAACTATGCAGTAGTGTTGGGCCGTTTGGGGCCCATTTCACTTGATGTCTCCAATTTGAGTTTTGCTTTATGTATGTTATCTGTATACTTTGAGTCCCAGAGATTTTGCATTTGTTTAATAAACTGGGTGACCTGGAGTCTGAGGGAACTGGATGATGGGAACAGATGGGAGCATGGAAGGACCATAGGCCTTAGGTTAGGGTTAACCTTCAGCATTTTTCTTTCTTTATCTTAAAAAATGGGACTTAAATGAATAATGTGCAAGGAGAGGTACACTTAAGAATTAGTGCTAGCTTTCCCCTTCCTTCTCTTAAGTCTCTTTTATTCCAGCCAAGAACGAAGATTGGTTTTTAAAAACCACTGTGTTAAATACAGATGTTTGAGTGGGGGCGATAACCCCATGAAATAATGACTAGAAGTCCACAGACTAGCTGGAGAATGGCTAACATCTAAGGCATATTCTAAACTTGCCACATTGTCAGTGTCATCGGACAGGAGGTTAACTGTTCTCTCTTCTGGGCATTCCATTATGTTTGGTGACTCTGAAGAATCTATATAAAGATTAATACTTTCTCTTTTCCACTTGTGCTCGCTAACAGCTCCTCACAAATACTATATTGGATTCCGGTATGTCCACCCTTTAACAGAGGAAGCAATTGAGGAGATGGAGAGAGATGGACTACAGAGGGCCATCGCTTTCACGCAGTATCCACAGTATAGCTGCTCGACCACAGGTACGGGCTTCTCTGTGACACTGGGAAGGTGGCTATGGCCCTGGCAAAGTTAACTAGGCAGTCCCGAGTGGGGAAGGAGGGATTAAATCATCATTTGTGGTTTGCAAGGTTAATCTAACCTATCTCCTTTAAACATGCCAGTCAGAGCGCTTGAAATCTTGTGGTTCTTCTGCTCCTTGAATTGTTCCCAGACAGCTGAGAATTACAAAGGGTAGTGAAAGGTGGCGACTACAGGTGTTCAGTGCTTTGATGTAGATGGATAATGGATCAGTAGTGAACCTTAAGCCACTTGCTAGTTCATATCAAACTTTATTTTTATGCTTATCCTGATATTAATGTAGCAAATGTGATAGCTCTTTCCATTTTGAAAGCAGCAGTTCTCCTGTAACATGAGAAATACTGGTTGGTCTTGGGGGGTTTTTTTGTTTGGTTTTTGTGCTTTGTTTAGTTGTTTGCTGGTTAAACGAAAACCTAGTTTGGGGTTCTCTTTGCAAGCTTTTCTCAGTGTTCTTGGTTTGAAAAAGTGTTACTGTTTGCTGTCCCCCATATATTTAACGGAAACCGGAGAATAATCTTTGTTTGACCATGTCTGTAATGTTAACGAAGACTCCTAGAAGAAACATTAGGAGTTCATTATATGGCTTAAATATTCATCCAGAACACTTGTTAAAATCTCTCTCAGATACCCTGAAGAGTTTGAGTTGTGACTTCTTTTGGAAATATACTTCTATAACTTCAAAACATCTGGTGACATATCACTGGAGGATAAGCCAGATTTTAGCATTTGCAAGCTATCTTTTTGTCTTGCTTTAAAAAATATACCTCAGTTAAGCATATTATTTATCTGACAAAGGATTGGTTGTGGATTTAATTTTTTTTTTTTGTCTTTTTCCTTTTGATCGGTATCAGGGATCGAACTCATGACTGCCTACTTGCAAGGCAGGCGCTTATGCCACTGAGCTAAATCCCCAGCCCCTGTGGATTTAATTTCACATCTGAGTCTTGTAGTGTGTTTACAACTTCTAGGCATGCTCAGTTTTTCTCTAGTAACAGTGGTGGCACATGTGAGCCAAGTCACCCCAGCATTGCACCAGCAGCCAAGCATCAGACATTCAGGTTTAACTGCATTGTTGGCCCTTGGTAAATTGGTCTGAGGTTGCAGTGTTTGCACTTGGTCCCTAAAAGGCTCATCATCACTGCTTTAGTGCATCCTGTGTGAAAGGACCAGGTATATTTTTACTTCCAAGGTACAAAAACCTTTGAGAAACCCATTTACTCCTTTAGGCCACTGGATCATCCCTTATCTAAGTGTCTTTTAGACACAGATTATTGTGGCACAGCCACTGTACCATATATCTGTCTCAGCACTTTTCTCAGTTATATTTTCTCCTTCTTAATTACTCTTCTGGTTAGCTTATTGGATGCTTCCAAATGACTGAAAGGGCCAGTGTAGCTTCCCAGAAGTCCTTCTTAATATATGAAAAATGGCTTTCATTTGTTAGAATGCAATTTGCAATGTGAATATGGTGATGACTACTTTGATTTCTAGAGAGATTGTTTTTGATCCTTGAATAGGTTGGATTCTGTTGACTGGCTTCATTCTGCTTAACAAAATTGATTCTATTCTTTTTTTGCAAATTGAGTCTTAACCTAACTATACATTGAAGTTTTAAAAGGCTCAGTTGTGGTGAGGCTTCTAAATTAGAAACCTGACTGACAGGACTTGTGGTTTGAGCACCCAGTGCTGGCAGTAGGAGGCTTGCTGGTGTGTTGGAACTTGCCTTGTGTTAACTGAGGGAGAAGACCCTGTTGGGGTTGGTTTCATCAGGTTAGTTTGACTCCCAATGCCACCTTCCCCATAGGCCAGGAAAAGGCTGCTTTGTGTTAGTACCATCTGGCTTCCTCTAGACTTCTAGTATTCATGATTTCCATCTCTCTGTTAGAAATACACATTTTTGTTAGCTTATTGTAAGGATTCTGTGTCCATTTAACTTACTCTAAGCAATGACAATAATTCTGTAGAAACAAAATAGCGCTCGTGAAAACTTTAGTAGGCTGCTTGCCTTGTTGTGAGGCCATTTAAAAGGTTGGTTATAAAACTTTTATTATAACATGAAAAGTACCTCATAATATTGTCCCAAATACCAAGGATCAATATACACAGGATTGCATATGCTAACATCACGACTTTGTAAAAACAGGCAGCAATTCAGATAACTGAAAACGACTGTCCTAGAATAAAACAATGTCTGTATTAGCATGCTAGGATAGTGGCTGATTTCTTTTTTCCTTCCTTCTTCATCCCCTATATTTTTTGTATTGGTGCTGATTACCTTTATAATAGGAAAAATATTTTAATATGCTTTCAGCTGTAAGACTTGATCCCTGCAAATAACTACCGCTTATGTTTCATAAATCTATGGCCATCACGTTTCTCACTAGAAATGGCCGCAATAATCATTGCAAGTCTGTTGAAATTGATTACTTTTTAGTGATCCTCATTTGCAGGGCTGCTAAATCCATATGCATTTTAAAGTATTGAAAAGATTGTAATTAGACTGGGATTCTGCATAGAAGCGGTTGCCTACTTTGAACTTATAATTACTTCCTTTGCAAGTCTGTGTTTTACTTTCACCATAATCAAAATGTATCCGTTAATTGGCCCCTTGTATATCGCAGGTAGCAGCTTAAATGCCATCTACCGGTACTACAATGAGGTGGGAAAGAAGCCCACGATGAAGTGGAGCACCATTGACAGGTGGCCCACACACCCCCTCCTCATCCAGGTGAGCCGGTGACCCACAGCTGCTCCTCACCCAGCAGCAGATCAGTCAGCTCTTGGCCCCGCGAGGTTGGTAGTGGCCTTCTGAGCCCTCCTACTCCTGTACGTGCTGGACAATTTTTTTAAACTTTGTATAAAGAGAGAAAATTTAAAGATTATGTAGTTATATGCTTTTCTTTCCTCAGATTGCTGCTGTTAGTGCCCAATCATAACAAAATTAGACTTTGAGTTTTGTGTTTCCCAGTGGCCAGAACATGAAGGATTTTTGTACATGGTGTTTCACTTAAGTTACATTTATGCATTTAATGACTTACAGGTAAATTAAACCCTTTATTTTCTAAACTTTTTAAAATGTCAAAAGATTTTTATTAAAATTCAAAGGCAAAATGTATACGTGCTCTGAGACATGAAATTAAATTTAACATTTCAGTGGGGAAACATTTCATAGACTAATAGAAGTTTCAAATTGCTTCTATAAAACTTATGAATAGGTGCTCAACGTTAGGAAAATCAATTAAAACTACAGACCTAAAACTAGTATCGTTGAATTGGTATTATTTTCTGCCTTTCAAATATGAGAGTGTAAAATGTTGCTCAAGCCCTGAAAATAGTTTTTTCCATCATAGAAGTTTCATATTTTGTCTTGTTTTAGGTGGAATAAATAGGAAGTGATTTCATGCAGTATATTTTTTTGTTCTTTGAATATTCTCTGACCTCTGGCAAAATAACCCTGTTAACGGTTCTAAAAGCCTGGTGGCACTTCAAACGTGTAACCACTAGATGGTGCTAGACATCATTAAAATCAGAGCAGCTCTTCCTGAAAGTGTCCTGCAGGCATGCGAAGGGTTAAACCAGGGGTTGAACTCCTAAGTCAGAAGTGAAGAGAAGGAACTCCCTCCTGGCTGAGTGTCCCTGTGGGGTCTGCGTCCCACCTTTGCAGTGCTGTCCCGTCCAGCAGCTCTGCCCCAGAGGCCTGCTGCCCTGACTGCGGCTCCCGGCTTCCCAGGCTGCGGTGGGGAAGGAGGGAGTTTCAGGTCAGCACGGACATGTGGTGCGGAGCCTGGGATCTGCACAGCATCTGCCTGCCCTGATCCAGGGAGTAATTAGATTTGCATTAAAATTCAGCCCTTTGAAAACGGGGAAGCAGAAAGATGGAAAGGTCTCTTAACTGAGGAAGTCTCTGTTCATAAAATGAAAGGGAATTTTAGAGGCATTTATCCACCCTCCTGGCTGGTGTGATTGAAGGCTCTGAGAGCCCGGTGCCTCTTTCATTCCGCGGAGGGGCCGGCCGTGCGCAGAAAATCCCGCAGATGGGCTTTAGGTGATTTAAGTAGCACTTCTGCTTGCCCAGGCACCTCAGTTTTGAAGATGGCTTAGGTACTGTGGCCAGCCAGAAAGCATTGTGTGCTCTTATTTGCAGTTTTGCAAGCTGAGAGAAGGAAAACAAAATAAAAACTCTAAAATGTGGGTAAGATAGGAGATTTTTTGAAAATGAAGAAACTAAACTAAAACTAAAACTATGGTTAAAAACTAAAAACACAGCTTTTAATTCACATTACTTGAAAATAGTCATTTTATTACTGTTATCTCTATCTAATACTTCTATTCATCTAGTTGTTGATGATTGGAGTAAATTTGTCTCAGGCTCCTGCATAAACTTTGCAGTGCCCTCCTGTTGTCCAAAAGTAATCCTTTCTGAGCATCCTTAATTTCTTTTATTTTTTATTTTGAAGAGGGTAAACAAACCATAACAAAGCAGAACAAAGCAGATCAGAAGAAAACAGTGTAAGTGACACAGATTTCAGAGCAAGACAACAGGAGATCAACATTGGCTACGATAATATCTCTTGTTTTCTTCTAAAGGGTTGCCTATATCTATGTCTATACCATCCTTAGTTTCTAAACACTGCAGAGACCACTAAGAAAAATACTTTTTGTTTGTATCAAATACTGTCACGTTTACTCTCTTAGATAAATTATAACTTCTGAAAATGGAGCTTAACTCTTGGCAGCATTTGGTGCCTTAGCACATTTATTTACTAATTGTGTGAGAGTTCCAGAATGATTAATAATATTTCAATACTTATTAGCAGCTAATTTATACATCCTATAGTAAGTGTCTACTGTTGATATATCAAGATACCAACAAGTGCAAATTTATATGGATCTGGTAAATTGCCTTTATAATTTTCTAAAAGTTTTTATTTAGATATAATTTCAGATATGTAGAAAGTTATGAGATTAAGCTAGTATGAGAAACTCTCTTCTCTTCTTTACCTATGTTCACATTATTAATATGTATTCCAGTTGCTGTATCATTAGGTTGAGTGTGTACATGTGTCTGTCTGCATATAGATAAACACATAAACATATGCTTTTCTGGACAATTTGTGACTAAGCTGTGTATATCTGGCCATTCTTTCCACCTGAATGTCAGAGGATGTACTTCTTAAGATCAGGGTATTGTCTGATGAGTACAACATTCAACATCAGTAAATTTCACACTGATACTCAACTATTATCTAATTTCCATTCATATTCCTGTTTTGTCAGCTGGCCCATTACTGTCGTTTTTAGCACTTTCTTTGTAAGTGAAATGACAGAGCGATTACAGTGTGAGATGAAAGCAGGGTTCTTCAGATCTGGCATTTCAGCACCTCTTGGCATGACGGGAAGGGGCAAGGAGATGAGGGAGTGGGCTGGTCTGGTGGCCAGAGGTGTGGCAGAGGTGGGGCCCGTGTTGTAGCTCAGGTTCACAGATAGGGGTGCTGACCCTCATGACCAGTGAATTGTTTTCCCTCTGTGCATTTAATGGGGATCGTGCAGCCAGGCGTCTGTCATTAGGTAGTTGTGAGGAAAATTGTCTCTATGAGGATCCGAGACTCAGGAAGATGTCATAAAAATAGAAGAGTATTTTCTTATTTCTCTCCTATTTCTGGCTAATGTATTTTAATGTGACTGAAAGCCAAAGTAAGGAAGATTTAGAAAGACCCTGTAAGCTGTTTTCCTGCTAACAGAGCAAGTGAGAGGTCTTAAAACAGCTTCTCCTTCCCATCTGCGTTTCCTTCCCATCTGGAAGTGTGCCCTGCTCTTCCCGAGGGGAAGCAGATCCGCAGCATTCATTTGCAGTGAGCCATTAGCAAGCTTTAGAAGTTTCCCATCAAATTCCCTTGGCCCCTGAAACTGTTATGATCCATTTTGATGATGAACCAAAACAAAGAGCCTGTACTGTTTGTAATTTTTAAAAAACGTGTTCTGGCTTTTGAAGGTTGCTCTCAGATTTTTGGTATAGCTCTCATGTTTGAAATACTTTCTTTTCTTCTATTTCTTTCTTCCCATGCATCCCTCCCTTCCTTTCTTGGGATTCCTACAGTGCTTTGCAGACCACATTCTCAAAGAACTGGACCATTTTCCAACCGAGAAGAGAAGCGAGGTGGTCATTCTGTTTTCGGCTCACTCTCTGCCAATGTCTGTAAGTAAGAACATTTTGTTGGGTGATGTAATGCTAGAGAATTGTGTTGTTTTATAAATGTGTAAAATGGTCCCAGCTCCATTATGTCCAAAGCCCAGTGTAAGAATGAATTACAAAACCACAGATTTAACTTGGTGCTAACTTAATTAGACCCATTTCTTGAAATGTCTCATAGCCCAAATTAAAATATTGTAAACAAATCTCCTCTTAACCTCTTTCAAGTAGTAACTAGAAAATACACTATATTCAAATAGAAGAATTTCTAGTAAGTGGGCCAGTTAAAAGAAGACTGTGTATCCTTGCCCTTGCAAAGGCCTGGTATTTCAGTGCGTGGAATTGTTTAGCTAGAATTGTTTTACCCATTCTTCTGTCCCCAAGATTTGATAGGAGCCATTTGAATTCTAGGAAGCAATTATAGTTTCTAACTTACTAAGACTAGGGACCACAATTTGGCCAAGGAATATCTAGTGATCAGGTTGTAATTTGGTTTTACCTTAGTCGTGTTGTACTAGGTCATTCATTAACATACACAAACCATATCATGTCTGCTGCATTTTTGGAAAAAAAATGGTCAAACTAGAGGCTAAATATATAGCTCAGTGGGAAAGTACTTGCATAACATGTGCAAAGAACAGGTTCAATTTCTAGCACCCTGTCTCCCCCCCAAAAAAGATCAAACTGGTATATACACACTGTATGCATTAAGTCTTAGAAAAAGTAACCAGCTTATGCATCTCAGAACTATCATTGTATCCTAAAAAACATTGCTTTCCAACCAAAGAGGTGGAGAATTACACTATTTTAGGTGTGGTTAAGATTTGAAGTCCATAGTCCTTGGGAGTCACCTCAGTGTGGGGGCCACCTTTCTCACTGCTCCGTACTGCCACCTAGTGGCCACCAGCGTCAAAACCTGTGCAGTTTCTCCTTGCCTGTGCCTCAACTGGGCGATCCCCTTCATCAATAGGTGGCTCTGGAGGGAACTTTCTCCCATCTGGAAGCCTGCCTACCTCATTCGTACAGGGTCGTACTGTCTTTTGTGGCAAGACCTCCTGAACAGGGCCAGAAGAACATCTTACGTTGCAGTCCCGGCACTGTTGTGTCATAGGATATAGGATTGAAGAAAACCGACAAAAGTATTTGTCATTGTCTCCAATGACAAATAGCAGGAAAAGATAAAATACATAATACATAAGATAGTATGGTAGGTCAGGATATATTAAATGTCATGGAAAAATAAAATAGGCTAAGGGGATTAGGGAGCCAGGACACAATGAAATTTTAAAATAGTTTTAAAAATTACTATGTACTGTATCGAACATTTTCAAAGGCATTAACAGACACATTAGGAAGCCAAATAAGCCTAATGAACATGTTCTATTAAGAACATGTATCAAACATTCTTTGCTCACAAAGCACTTGTCAGGGAAGAGCAGATTAGAAAAAAGAAGTGGAAGGTGTGGATCAGATTCCTGATGAGTCTGGAGTCTGAACCACATGCTCTCCTGTTCCTCCCCGTGGTCCTCTAGTGTCCCCCATAAACTCCATCTTCTGTCAGGGGTTCAACACGTTGTCCATACTGAACTCTTTCAGTCCTGGTTAAAATCCACCACTCCTGGGCATTTCCATCTTACACTGACTCTTCTACCTGGCTTTCTTGGTATTGTTTCCCTTTTCCAGTTTGGGGGATAAAAAGAGCCATCCTCTGTGGTTAGACATTAATTTTGTATCTTCTCAAGGACCTTAGAGAAGATGGAGCACAGTGTTCTCTTTGGCCATTGAAGAGAAGCAACCAAGAATGCTCCATCAGAGCGCAGATCATTTCATGCACAGTTCAGGAGACAAGGAGGGAAGGCTGGTCCACAGCTAACCCTGTGTCACAACACAGTCAGAGGCTCTTGGAGCCCTTTGCAATGTGAGCAACTGAATACCATTTTGTTTCTGCTGCAGGTGGTCAACAGAGGGGACCCCTATCCTCAGGAGGTCGGCGCCACTGTCCAAAAAGTCATGGAAAAGCTCAGTTACTCCAACCCCTACCGACTGGTTTGGCAGTCCAAGGTAGGTGGCTTTTATGCATTGGTGGCACTCAACTCTTCTCTGTTTGCGGGATGATACATGTCTGTGATCCCAGCACTCTGGGAGGGTGATGCAGAAGGATCACCAGTTCGAGTCTAGCCTGGGCTTTTAGTAATTTAGTGAGACCCTGTCTCAAAATAAAAAATAAAGGGCTAGGGATATAGCTTACTGTGGAAGCCCTGGGTTCAATCCCTACTCACTGGATTGCTCAATTATGGACAGAAAGAGTTCCACAAAGAAGTAATAGAAAGGAAAATCAAGTGATTAGTGGAATTCCACTGGCTTAGTATTTTATTTTCAGATAAACTATTATTTATTGATAATAGGTTAACCTCTAGAATGATTCAGACCTCAATATAATAATACAAACCCATTCAAACAGGTGTAAGAGTGATTCTTGCCTGTAATGAGCAAGTGGGTGTGCACAAGGTAGGGGACAGTGGGTGCTGTAGACTTGGCGGCAGAATGATTCATTTACATCTTCATCCTCCTTTCTGACAGGTTGGCCCAGTACCCTGGTTGGGTCCTCAGACAGATGAGGCCATCAAAGGGCTTTGTGAGCGGGGAAGGAAGAACATCCTCTTGGTCCCAATAGCCTTCACCAGTGATCACATTGAAACACTGTACGAACTGGACATTGAATACTCTCAAGTGTTAGCCAAGGAGGTGCGTGCTGCCGTCTGGCTTATCAATCTCAATGTGATTTTTTAAAAAAGGAAATGTTTCCTGCAACTATTGGTGTCATTCCAAACTGTTATTTAAAGGTGCTGTGTCCTCACCATTTTGAATAATACTGCACCAAGTAGTAACCTCAACACATTGCATTTATTCGGTGTCGGTGCGGGGAGAGGACATTTGTGTCCTTACTTAACCAGGTAGCTAGGGATCTCTGCAGCCCTTGTCGTCCTGCTTAGTTGGAGTTACCATGCTGCACACAAGTAGTAACAGCTGTTGTTCTTTTTTTTTTTTTTCTGGGACTGGGAATCAAACTCAGAACCTCACACTTACCAGGCAGGCACGGTGCTGCTGAGCTGTATCTCCAGCCCCACAACCACTGTTCTTTAAGAGAAAAAGAATGGTACACCTTGCTGCTCCCACAGAAAAATTTATCCTATAATTCTTCACTTTGCTTGGGCCGTGACGGTTCCCGTTGGATTTCTAGTCATGGGAGACATTGTCATTTCAAGTGAACATGTGAGCTGCGTGTGCTGTAATTTCCTTTCCCTCTTCTATGCATTCACTTAATTAGCTTTTTGCTACCATGTCGTGATCAATCTGATTATTGAAATAACAAATACCACCCTTGGTGTTTTGTAATGTAAGATGGATGTGCATTGTCATTAAGCATAGAAGAAAAACTATTGCTTCCTATCTTGTGGCGTCTGTGGCCCCACCCGAAGCTTGCATCTACCTTAGAGCTCTGTTTCTGTGGGAAGTGTGGAAGCAGTGGAGAAGCAGCCTTTCTCTCCTTTTCTTCTGCCGGAATTCCTGGTTGCCCTGTGTGTGACTGACTGACAGAGGCCTGGCCTAGCAGAGCGCGTGCTCTGCCTGGGGTGGGTGTTGTGTGCGGGGCAAGGTGGAAGGAGGGTGGGCCAAAACTGGAGCAGCCCCAGCCCCTGCCGTGTGCATGTCCGTGCTGGGCTTCAGTCAGATGGGTGACCTTAAGGAGTGCCCAAGTTTGCTCATCAGGAGTTACGAAAAATAGTTTGTGGGCAGGTTGTGATTGGTGAAGACAAGGTTGTAGCACTGTCCATAGTTTTTCTTTAGTGCAGTGTCTGTATCCCATTGTATCCTTGACTAATTGTGAGTTTGCTTTAAAAAAAAAAATACAGTGAAAAAGCTGGGCATGATGGTGCACTCCTGTAATCCCAGCACTTGGGAGACTGAGGCAGGAGGATCACTGCAAAGTCATGCCAACCTGGGCTACATAGTGAGTTCAAGGCCAGCCTGAACTGCATAGTGAGACTCTGTCTTAAAAAAACAGACAGTGAAAATTTAGCTCCTATCAGTGGGTTTGGAAAATGAGTTTTTATCCGTGTTGAATGACCATTCACATTCATCCATATTACTAAGCTGAGGTTATTTAGTAATCAAAGAAATTATTAGTGACTAATAAATTAGTCTTTATACTAGTTAAAGAAAACCATCTAACTATAATGTATCTCATTAAGAGAATAGAGTATGTTTAGAATAATCAACTACAAAAGTTAAAAAAAATTTTTCCCCTAAATGACTTTATTGCTCTTTTGAAAATAAAAATAGTAAGGATGTCAGATAGTACAGAGTAGTACCTGAGATCTGATCAAAAACCACAGCAAATTTTAAACTACAGGTAAAGTTTATTGCTGTTAAAGACGCACAGCCTGCAGTCTCCCTCTTCTCCTGTGTTCTTGCCATTTTCTGAGACAGCCTGGGACGCCTGTCTCCTGAATGTCTTTTTTTTGTTTTGTTTTGTTTTTTTGTTTTTATTGGTACCGGGGATTGAACTCACGACTGCCTGCTTGCAACGCAGGCGCTTATGCCACTGAGCTAAATCCCTAGCCCCTCCTGAATGTCTTTTCGTGGTCGCTTCAGGGTCCTGAATTGATTCAGAAAGTTTATGAAGTTTCTGTCAGATAGCAATGCGGTGCTGCACCCTCACCCGCATTGCCCAGCCAGTCTGACACCAAGCAGCTTCTGGCTCTTGGCCAAAGTCGCCACGCCTGTGGGAGGTACATTTGGAATCGGGGAGCCACAGTGGAGTAGCGGAAGTGCGCGAAGAGCCCCCCCCCAACTGCTTCTGAAAGGGGCGGAAACAGTGGGCTGAGTCTGCTGGGGGGAGGGCTCAGAGAAGGATTAATGGCAATGTGTCTTTTATTGTAATAAAACTTTAAAAAGATTTTGCTTATACCTCATAGTACAGTGAGTGAAACACATTCATAATCTTACCCCTCAGCACATCTGTTCATACTGTGGTGAGAGTAAGTCCCTTTTCCTTTCAAATGTGTGTGTTTTTAAAAGAACAGGCTTCTCTGTGTTTAACAAAACTGGTATTTCATTCCTGTCTTTCTTAAAACTATATTATGGGGGCTGGGGATTTAGCTCAGCGGCATAAGCACCTGCCTTACAAGCAGGCAGTCATGAGTTCGATCCCCGGTACCGATAAAAAGGAAAAAGACAAAAACAAACAAACACTATATTATGGACCTAAATTAGTAAATATAATTATATCTCTATAATTATTAACCTAAACCTGATGTCGAAGGTGTTCTTCATTTTTCCTACTCCACCCCACTTTGTAAAAAATACTTTGATTGTTCCAATTGCTTTCTGAAGGCAGCTTCCCAGGCAGCATGTGGGTGTCCACCCGCCCCGCCCCGATGGTCCTCCCAAGGGTCCTGCTGACTCCTGCTGGCCCTGGCTGCGCTACTCCCCCAACTTCTGTGTGAAGTTTTACAGCACAGGGGCTCCCTCCGTTGAGATCCCGGTGTCCACCAAATCTTGCATTTCCCACACCGGCCCGCAGTGTAAACGGTTCAGGGCAATCAGAAGGCTAAAGCAGCTGGCAAGCCATCTTCAGGAACGGGAAAGAGAAGGTCCTAACTGAGTAAACTGTAATCAGTGCTTAGTTCTTTAGACTAACTGAATAGATGACTAACTGAATATTTTGGGATGGAGGAAAAGAATGATATTGAAGCAATCTCTGTGCCTGTGCGTGTATGTTTTATTTTCTGTTTTTTTTGTAAGAATATATTTAAAACCCAACTGTGCATTGTATTCAGTCTAGATCCAGTATACTTTTCAGAGTCCATCAATTAAATTTCTTCTTTTTCACACCCAGGATCAAAGCGAGCAGCAAAATGTTACTATTAAAGCAACATTCTACTTAGGTAGAGTCTGTAAGAGCATCTATTAGAAAAGTAGAATTAATATAAAAAGAAAGATAAGCACATTTTAATTAAGGAGAATTTCATCAAGAATAACCTCAGCCATGGTCTGGAAACAGACCACCTGTAGGAGGATAATGGGGTTGGAAATGGGGGGACCCAGAAATAGAACAGTCAGTGGTAGCAGCCTCCACCCCCACCCCCACCCCCACCCCCACCCCTGCTGCGTACTGGCCTGTGACTCATTGTCCATCAGTCTGAGCATGCTCGAGGTCAGACTGCCTGGGTATGTGCTTGTTTGTGTGATTTTATAGCAGTTCCTTAAAATGTGTGTTTTTCCTCCCCTTCCTCATTTGATTTAGTGTGGAGCTGAAAACATCAGAAGAGCGGAGTCTCTTAATGGAAATCCACTGTTCTCTAAGGTATCTGCAGTGTTGCAACCATTTTAGTAGAACATACCGGGGAGTAATCCTCTGAGAAACTCTTGCAGAATATTGGTTTTCTCACATATTAGAACATTTGGAGTTCCAATTAATTACAAAAATAAGATCGAATTCCTTATCCACTCCTTCCTTTTTCCTTTAGGTAGGCCCAATTTTCTCATTTTTACCCACCTATAACTATGTGTAATTTAAAATCTGCTTTTCAGAGAAAAGGGGGAGTGGCTGCAGTAAGAGGATCATTTCCTGGATTCGTATATATGTATGTATGTATTTGGTCTTTTTTGAGACAGGGTCTCACTATGCAGTTCAGGATGGCCTTGAGCTCACTTTGTAGCCCAGGCTGGTCTCTAACTTGAAGTGATCCTCTTGCCTCAGCCTTCTGAGTCCTGGGATTACAGGTATGGGCTACCACACCTGGCTGAATTCCATATTTTAATTGTCCCTAAGCTGAGGATGCTCAGGAAGGGAAGACGTGGAATATAGTTCGGACTTTACAATGCAGATTAAAAGCCTGAGCTCAGCACACATGCTAGCCTAGCAGAATTTTCCGTGAGCAGACATTTCCCATCTGATGCTCTGTGCTTCTTGTGTGTCTTGCAGGCCCTGGCCGACTTGGTGCACTCACACATCCAGTCAAACAAGCTGTGCTCCAAGCAGTTGACTCTGAACTGTCCGCTCTGTGTAAATCCTGTCTGCAGGGAGACTAAATCCTTCTTCACCAACCAGCAGCTGTGACCCGGAGAACTCTGTCGGATTAGGCAAATGCCCCACATCTAGACTCCTCAGATGGGGGGAGGACACTGTTTAGAGACCAAAGAAGGAAGCCACATCAGTGTCTGCATGGCCTTTGGGCACAGCTGTGATTTTGTGAGAAATGGACTCTGAAATTGTACGGAGAGACTTTCAGTTTTCATGCACTTATAGAGTGAGCATTTGTAATCCCGCTCTCTGGGTAAATTTCCTAGTTTTGAATTTCCACAAGGACATTTGAAACATGACTTTTGAGAGTTTATCTCATGAGATGCACACCTATTTTAAATAGAGATTTTGCTTTGTTGCCTAGAACCACCCCCGAATGGGTACAAAGGATTCACCCTGTCCCCTCTGGGGGATCGGTGTGACAGATATGCTGACAGCTTCATGCATTTAGTTGTAGTTTTTTAAATAGATGTAGTTGGAAAAGGAAATATGACCTATCTTTCCTGTAAGTCTGGGCACGGGAACAGAAGGCCGGTGAAGTGGTTTGATTGCCTACCATGGTTTCTGTTTCCAGGGAGGCCTCCGTTCATTGGTTGTTTTGGTGTCTGTGTGTCCTCATCCCAAAACCAGAAGTGCTGTGTGACTCCCCAGGTACATGAGGCTGGTGAACGCGTGGAGACGCTCTGTGGGTCGCAGCTGCCTCGGTGTCTCGGGAGGGAGCTGTGCTGCCCAGCCCTGCACTGCCGGGAAGGTTCCTGAAGGACTGAGCTCTAAAGCCGTCCCACCCAGGGGCTTCAGTAGTCTTTCCATGCAGCCTTTTCTGATCTTAGTTAAGTGCTTCTTTTCTGTACAATGAAGAGTTATTTTAAAAAGTCAACTGTATTTTGTAACCTTGAATTCTTCCTCAATTTACATGTTTTTACCGTGAGATTATGTATTCTACAGTAGGACATTTGACAAGTACAGAGAAAGAAAAGAACCACTCTCATGCAACAGCTATTATCCTATCATGCTTCATGCCAGTCTTTTCTTGTGGATATTTTTTGATGTCATTGTCACCTTGAATTTCTCAGTGGAAAGTTATTCTAAAAATGTAGAAGTAATGTCAGGTCAGATCTGATCTTCTGTATTTGGAATTAAATGGATTGAAAATATTTCTAATGGATCCATGAAGAATTTGTAATGATTGCTTTCTCTTTCCTCCAAACCCTAAAACTTTTTTCAAAAGAACATTTCTTTGATATTTTTGAAGCCAATTCATAAAGTGGAAGTAATTAGGGGATTCATAGATCTTCTATACTCAGGATTTGCTTTTGATAGATGGTATAACATCATTAAAGTTTTAACCAGTTTGATTGATGCTGCTAAATCAAAACTGATCAAAGTGATTAAATATGAGGAATTTATTTTGCAAGACTAGGAAAGAAGGGGCTGGGGATTTAGCTCAGCGGCATAAGTGCCTTCCTTGCGAGCAGGCAGTCGTGAGTTCGATCCCTAGTACCGATAAAAAAAAAAAAAAAATGATTGGAAAGAAATGTGCCGCGTGCTCTAGTTAGCAGTTCTCCTGTGCTGATAATGACCCTCTAATAGGTAGGCTTCTGCATTTTTTTCTCCCAAACTGAGTTTTTATTAGAAGGTTGTTTCTAAGGAAAGAAGTAAGATGTACTTAGTTTGGATTTTTTTCCCTCTCTTTTTCCATCACCTTTTTGGGAATTGGATTCAAATTAGACTCTGAGTGGCTGTCCCAGTGAAGCACATATCCTAGGCTTTGGCCTGGTACTAGAAGACAGGTTACATTCAAGCCATTCTTTCTGCCCTGCAACACTTGCTGAAGGTCTGCTTTACCTCTCTGGCTGCTTTGAGGTGAAGACAGTGTTGTCGTGGAGATGTTAAGGACAGTTCTGGCTGAGGAGCCCTTCAGGGTATCCAAAGCCCCTCATTTGCTAAGGAACTTTGAATCAGCAATAACTGGGCTGTCTGTAATAATGTCCTGGATCCACCTTAGGAGGAGGCTGGCTCCTTAATGAGAGGCAAACTGGTGTGGCGGTACATGCTGGTAGTCTCAGCAGTCAGGAAGCTAAGGCAGAAGGATTGCCACATGTTCGAGGCCAGCCTGGGCTACATAGTGAGTTCAAGGCTAGCCTGAAAAACTTAGTGAGACCCTGTAGCAAATGAAGTGAAATAAAATAACATAAACCTAATGAGATCACCCCCATAGCATTTGTGTCTCTAAAAAGGTTACTTTTGACTATTAACCATTGATCGGTGTCACAAAAAGAGGGTAGCATTTAATAAAGTATTTCTACAGCTAATAGTCTTTAAGAGTTGTTATTCTGTTTGTCAGCTTTGAAGTACAAATGTTTGCCCTGGTAATTGGCAATGAACAGCTGGAAGCTGTGCTACACAGGGATCTGGCTGTTCCTCGAAGAGCAGTCCGCTTCCACGGAAGACCTGCTGGGCTGTGTGGGAGGCAGATGACCGCAGGGCCCAGGACCGTGGCTGGGTGCACAGGAAGGAGCTCTCCTAAAGAATGTGCATCAGAGGAAATCTGTTACTGGGCAACGAACTCATTGTTCAGATCCCTCTAAATATGTGACAGTGGTGAGTGGTGCTGAGTAAATAGTAAAAATCCACGACTTTTTGATCGTACTTCAGAGTACACGTCCCAGCTAAGAGACCCCATGATCAGGCTGCTGTCTTTCTCTAGGATTTTGCTAAGTCTTCCTTATGGCTGAAACTAGACATCCAGGGTCAGATAGGAAGAAAAGCAGCCTTTGTGCTCCAGGTTGCCCAGCCCAACCCTGTCAGAAGGTATGAACAACCCTAAAAAATATTTGGTCATTTAGAATTTTAACTGATCTTAAAAAGAGATTTTTTTTCCTACTCTCATTTCTTTTTGGGATAATACAAGGATGTGGTGGGCAGGTCACTGAAAGTAGAGTCACTACATTTGCTTCTCTTAGCTAATCTGTTCCCAGATGTTGGGCATTTCATTCAAGAAAGTGTAATTTAAGGCACACGGGAGGGATTCGCTTAATCTGACACCATCAAGATGTAAAACAGGTGATTAGGCCATCAGGGGAGAGGCCCAGGCTCTGCACAGCAGGTCAAGTAGGGTCAGCAATAGGACCTGCCTGCTGCCCAGAATACAGATGACCGTGTGGCACCCACAGTGGGCCCGCTTTTTGCTCCTGCATTTTATGGATAGGTGAGTGTGTGCCTAGGGCTCACCTTGTGCTCCAGTTAGAGGGCAGAATTTAAAGCTGGTTGCAGGAAGAAAGAAGAATGACTGTGTAAGTGTATGCACAGATACATGCATCTCTAACTTCTTTACCTAGCCTGAAGAAGCACTTCTTCCCAGAACCCCAAAGAGGGACCAGGAACAGGCTTCCCAGCATGAGGTGGAAATGGTCAATTCTTTGAGACATCACAAACTGGAAAAACAAATTCTGAGTTGCTATTGAAACTGGTGCTTTCAATGAAGATTATTAGGAAGAAGGGGATTCGTAAGAGGATGGTAGTTATTTTTATCATTTCTAAAACTATAGAATTAAAAACATAAATAAGGTCATAACCCAAAAGAGATCATTCCCAAAAATTTTATGTTTTTGCCTAATAACTGAGGTTCCTTTGTAATCAGCACCTTCAATATCTCCTCTCAGTCTATGTGGTTTTCTGTGACATTTGAATTTCATTTTATAGAAACTAATACAATTTCAGAGTATGTATGTTAAATGGATTAAAACCAAATATTGATATGGCCCAAGCAACCTGCATTCTGGAATCATTGCCAGTTAAAACATCAAGTCACATCTGGATTATGCTGCGATTTCTTGTGCCTACCTTGTACCATGGCTTGTTACTTAAGTCAGTGGCACCTGAAAGCCTTTGATTTACATTTCCAGATTTTGTCCAACTCCATAGTTCTATGCTGTGGCTGTTATCTGACTTTGGCCTTAAAAGTTGGGCTGCTTTTCAAAATGCACATTTTGGAAATTATAAAGCATGCAGAGCTCTGCAGCATTTAGTTACTTGGCAGGTGGTATCCTTAGTCGTGCCCCAAGTCCCTGAGCAAGAGGAGTTCTGGGAAGGGCTCCCTCTGGAGAGCATGTTTATAATATTCTAGAGTCCCACGAGAGGAAGAAATAACATGGACATCTTATTATGCTTTTCTACAGGGAAAAGGAAGTGGAAAACAAGTGCACCCCATAATAATCAGTGTCTGACATATTTTTTGATAATGCTGGCTTTGTTTTTTTAGCTGAAATCATTAGATTCCATTTTTAGTTTAACAACAACTATCAGCTAAATTAGTCTACAGCAGGCCATTAAGATGGATGTTGGAATTAAAAACATTTTTGGAAAAAAGCCTGGTTTTATCCCTTGTCATAAGCCTGAGCAGAGATCTGGGTCCCGTTTCTGTTGCTTGCAGATTCTCCCTCTGACATTTTGTTTGCAGATGCACACCCTTAGCAGCCTATTCCCTAAATGGGAGACACAGACCAACATTTCCCCTTGAAGTCTCCCTGTGGGTCAAATGTTTAATTTCCTGTCATGTTAAGAAATAATAGATTTTACCCTGAGAATTTGTAACATTCTCCTTAAAAACAACTTACATATATATTTTTTTATCTTTTTGAGACAGGGTTTCACTATGGAGTTCAGGCTGGCCTTGAATGTAAAGCATTCCTCCTGCCTCAGCCTTCTGAGTGTTGGGGTTACAGGTATACACCACCACACCTGGCAAGTATTTGAGGCATGGAATTGAGTGTACCAGTCACTGTATGTTAGCTTACAAACCATTGGTTAAGTTCTCAGTTTGCTAACTACAGCAATTAAATATTACATTTTTTCTCTTTTAAACATTTTATTGATGATGGTGGTACACACCATGGTGGTGCCAGGGACCAAACCCAGGGCCTCATGTGTGCTAGCCAAGTGTTCTGCCACTGAGCTGAATCCCGAACTCCAACAATTACATAATTTATAATTAAATTATGTTAAAAGCAAAGGTAACACCCAGAATCCATCGCTTCTAATTTTGCTCCACCATTGTATTATTTACTATCTGGATTTAAGTAGATGATGAAAAAAGTTGCAGTTTAAAAGTTGTCTCAGCAGCCATTGCCAATAGTATAGGAAATAGCAGAGGAAATATTCTTCCAGTGTTTGGAAGTATCCGACTTGCCCAAGTGGTATTTCGACATATAAAGAAGGTGTCTCATGTTTGTGTTACTCACTAATGAGAAAAAAAAGTCAACATCTGTGTCAGAACTATACTTGTCAATCAGCTGTAACCATAGGTTGGCTGTGGATGCAGAGGCTGAGTGACAGAGCAAAACATGTATGCTTTGAGGACCAATCAACTACAAGGGCTTTATAAAGAGCATTGTGCATTTTGTTATTATTCATAAATCATGTTCTACATATCTTAGACAATATTTATGATAAACATACTCCACACACTGACACAGACTGTTTACTCAGACAGTGGGTTGGTGACCATGTCCCACATGTTACTGACATGCAGGAGCTTCCCTGGGATGCTAGCAATGATGTTTATATGGCCGTGAGTTGCTGTCCAGATGCTTTATGTAGAGCAAGAATGTGCTCTGTCACTGCCTGTAGAAGGAAAGCTACCACACAGTGACTGAATATGTAGTCTTGAAAGGGCAATTCCATTTGTCTCCAACATAGTCCCATGGGCTTCTTGAATCCCTGGAAGGTGAAACTTAGCAGTTCCAGCCAAAGGGCTGGATCAAAGAACTTTCCATGGCAAAAATCAGAATATTCACATTTTCTACTTATTGCACAGGGGCCTGGGAAATTGTCACAAGTGAAGATCACACATAGCAGTTGGTACCGGTTCAGAGGAACCAGTACTGTTCTTTCTTAAAGCAGTACTGCACGCCTATGATCCCAGCAGTCTGGGAGATTGAGGCAGAAGGATCAAATTGTGAGCTCAGCCTGGACAGCTTAGGGAGATTCTATATCTAAAACTGAAAAAAATCTCTGAGAATTTAGCTTACTTTAAAAGCCCAGGGTAAAATCCCAGGGCTACCAAAAAAAAAAAAAAAAAAAGCACTCTCTGTGTTCAGCCGTTCATTCCCAGAAGCCATCTCTTTATGATCAAGCCTTGGGGTGCCAAAGAATGAGGGGGAGTGAGCACTGTGTCCAGAGCTTCACAGGCTGTCTCCTGAAGGCAGCCCAGCTTTTCACTGGTACCAGAGTGACGCCTTGCCCCAATGCTGCCGTTACATCCCAGTCCTCAAGTTGAACCATTTCCCTGTTTTCTGAAGCCCAGCTATCATTTCCATGGCCAGGCTCTTCCTACAAGCAGTTTCTTTTATTTGTGTCTTTCACATGTTGATTACTTACATGACCGAAATGACCAACAACTGTCATACAGTGAATTCCAACCTCTTCCTGTTCCCCAGAACTTGACTGAAAGAGAAACAACTCTACGAAGCCACTTCACACATCTCCACGCTTCTCCACTCCCCTTCAGTCCTGCATTTCTAAGAGGCTGCCTTTTGTTTCCCTGATGCAGCCTTATCCTTTGCTGCAATCCCTTGATCCTCTGGAGCTCGGAATATCTCCAGGGTTTTATGCCTGATCCTTTTCTGTATCCCCCAAAGGCCAAGTGCCAAGCTGAGCCATGGCGATGTCCAATAGAAAAGGTCAGCCTGGCATTACCTTCCTGAGAGATGTCTCTTCAGGATCGTGGCCAGACATTTAATTGCGGCTATATAACACAAGGTAGCATTTTGAGGGTATGTGGCTACTTGAACACAGTCTCGTCTCAGAAAAATTTAAATGGATTCCCCCAGACTAAGGAGATGCACAGCTGAATGTTAGTGCCTTTATTTTCTGGCTACATTAGCACCATCTGGACCAAATTATCTCTCATTTGTGTTGTGTTCCTGGCTCCTAACTGAATTGGCTTCAAGGCCATGAAGAGTAGACTGTTCCTTAAGTACCAGTGGAGGTGTCTGAGGACTGGGGGTCTGTGGAGCAGGGCAAACAAGGCGTCAAATTGTTCCCCTAGGCAAAGTTAGGGACAGAACTGAGGGGTGATCTGACATGGACACAGGCACCCAGTTGAGAGGAATCTGTTTTTCTGCTCCTGCCCAGACCTTGGTTGTCTTGCTTCAGTCATTGTTTGAGTCCATCACATCTGGTCATGAAAGAAACATGCCATATCAAGCACGGAGGTACACGCCTGTAATCCCTGCACTCTGGAAGGCTAAGGTAGGATTGCAAGTTCAAGTCCCACTTGAGCACTTAACAAGACCCTGTCTCGAAATACAAA